AATCCAGGAGAAAAGGGATTCCAAATATATGTTCCCATACAAATGCCGTCTACAAAAATCATCAGAAATATATTTGTATTGTCTGATGAAAGAAATTACACGTTATAGTTCTCTGAACAGTTCATAATATCACATAGACACGTATATACCTTCAAATTGCCGTTGTTTCTTTTTCAAAATCACGACTGGTCATACAGTCAAAAAATCTGAAATCGCTTCTAGAATACAGTCAGTTCTAGACTGATCGTACAGTAATTTATTTTGGGATCCTCAAGGAAAACATATTTTTTTATGGGAAATACGAATATTCTACTTAAATACGAAAAGAATATTGAAACAGTATATATTTAACTGTAAACTGATGCAAATATTTGCATTAAAAGATTATTTGCTTTGTACTACGAGAGCAAAATTGTCCATCGATTTCACTTTTTCAAGTTGGTGTGATGCACACGTATATTTCATATTCTTATGCATGTTTTTGTTACAGTTACTCATATTTATGATGCTATACATACCTTGAAGATGTTCAACGCACTTTATAGATAACGGAGTAAACAAATGACGAGAAAAGTCACCGTAGGCAAAACCGTCCTGTTAGCCAGTTGGAAATCATCGCTTCGAAAATCGCGACTTCCAGATAGCGTACAGAATAGTATCTACACTGTGACTAGCAGATACAGATTTTGAATCTACAAAATCGATTCGTTGTAATTATATGTACCTATATAATATGATATCGTTTAATTACACGCGATTTATTATGGCAGTGTGGTAAATAATTTATTGGTGCATTGTCGTTCTTTGCCTATATAACACTAAGAAAAATAACATATATGTAGGATTAAACGTCACTGGGGGGCAAAAGTATGGATTTGCCCCCCCCCCCCCCCCCCAATGTTTTGTCAACAAAAAAAATTCTTGAAAAAATTACTATATACGCACTAAATGTACTAGATATATAATAACTAGACTATGTGGCCCTTTTTTTCTGCTTGTCACTTTTAAAGCTTCCCCCCCCCCCCCCCCCCCCCCCCCCAGTGTTTTATATTGTTCGTGTTTTCGAGAGCAACATCTAAAACGTCTGGGTTTTTCAACAAATGGTCCGGGTTTTTTGAAGAAAATGTGAATAAGAAAGAAGACAATCTTGGGCTTAAAAACTGACTTTTTCTAGTTTGTAACTGTTATTTAGCGAAGGACAATATTATTTATTCTTAATAAGTCACAAAAACATATTACTATGTTGATCAAATTTAACTCTTTTCAATTTAATGATAACTTTCTGACTTTCTGTTCTGAAAACATAAGTTACAATAACCTTGCTGTATTAGGATAAATTAAACCGAGGACACCGTCAATGCTATTTAATGGTTGATATATATAACTAATAACCATTAAAATTATATATATATATTACAGTGACGAAAAAGCGTAGGAGCAAAAAAACTAAGGAAAAACAGTAAAAAATCAGAAAAATTCAATTTAAACCCAAATATTCTACGAAAAAATTTGAATTGAATGGAATATCTTATAATAAATGAAAACAACACTTTATAAATTATGCGTCCGAAGCGCTTTTCTGGATTTACTTTCGTCAAGAACGCTCAAAGTCGAATATTTGAAAGCCAAGGATGTATAAGAATTGGAGAGCTATATGGCCAAGAACCTAAAAAATAGACAAATCAACTTTGCCTGATGGAGTTTAAACCTTAGTTTGTTAATGATTTTTATGCCCCCGCGATTAATGTACCCCTGTCCGCCCGTCCGGATTAGGATACATTGTTTGTCCGGCTATCTCCTCCTAAAGTTTTGGAGGTACAACTTTAAAATTTTGTAGGATGTTCATACACATAATGGAGGTGTGCATGGCCAGTTGTATGCCAAAATCACTGTTTGTCAAATTTAAAATATGTGGAACTATACTCATGCATATGGCAGAGCAGAAAGGGGGCATTGTCTATATCTAGTTAAATTTATAAACGGACAATTTTAAATGATTGATTGTTGGTTGCTTAACGTCCAGTGGCAAATATGTCTTGCATGTTCAAGACGAGAACCAATTAACAATAAATCCAATATGTAGGTCCTGTAACAGAGAACGTTCGGGATGAAGGTCGAGAAATTTAGGCTGCCACTGAAAATTAGGGTATATTGGATATGGACAGAAATTTTACCTTGCAACACGCCACCTACGGACCCTTAAAAGAGCTGTTGCAAGGGTTCTTGACGTGCAGTGAGCGTGACACTCTCAACACGCCCCATTCTGACCGGACGTGACTGCGTATTTGAACATCCCGCAAAGCAAAACGGACGCCCCACTTTGGCAAGGGTTTCACTGCCGGTCGGAAGAGGACCTAAGTGACCATATTTCTATTCCCCAGTCCCCCTTGGAGATAAACAATTTTAGAAAGGTTTGTTATAAATCATGTCAATACCGAAGTACTGACTACTCAGCTGATGATAAACTCGGCGACTTATCCAATATATTGAATAAACAACGAAATGTTTTATCTGTAAGTTTAATACGATCCTTTTTAAATAATAAAAAAAAAAAAGAAATGTACATATAACATGTGTTAACCTCACAAATATAATTCTTTTAATTTCTGGTGAAAATGAAGCTATGATAGTGCTTTATTTCTATGTGACCAAGTATAGCATATGCTTGATCAGGCTCCTCTTCACAGTAGGAGCATTTGAACATTGTTTTTGATTGCCATTTCTAGAACGATAAAATATATTATCATCAAGACAAACAGTAAATGAAACATTTAGGATGTATTTTCTGTTAAAAAAAAACACACATTTACCCGCTTTACACACTATGTGTACGTACGTCTCAATCCAACATGTCCGAGTTCAAATAAAGATTGTTTACATCACGAAATATTTACTGTATGAAATCCATATCGGTACACTTACATGAAGATAATATTATCTGAATACAAATGAACGATGCCTTTTTATGAAATGTACGTGTTAATACAGCATTATCAAACTGGTTTATTGCATTGTTTCGTGCTTTGAAAGGTACTTTATTTGAACCTTTTCCTTGTATTTTAAACGTAAATGCACTGACATATTACATTTTTCGCCTTAGGAATTTTGTTTTCTCACTCGATAAAACAAGGACGCACTCGAAAAAACACGGCCTGCTCTCGATAAAACACGGACATATTAGAATGAATTTACTCAAAAAAATGTACTTTTCAATGCAAAAAGTATAGTGTCTGTATATCTAAGTATATATTTAGATTCCATGTAAGCATTTCCGTTGACATTTGCATTGGTATGTGTATAATAATAGCTTTGATCTATATTTTGGAATAAAGCATTGTAAGGCTAAATTAAACGCTTTTAAAACAAATTAATGTAGGGTTGATAATAAATTTTTATCACAAATACTAATTTACCTTCTATGATATCAGATATAAGGTTCTGGTATCTTTTTTTTACGTCTTACCAGAAAAGAAGTTTGTGTACATTTTTTATCATATTCACCCGAAAAAACGTGGTCATACTCGAAAAAACCCGATCAAATCACTCGAAAAAACACGATTCCAGCCGGACACTATACCTACCGTGATTATGACTAGACAAAAGTAATCGCTGACTGTCACAGTGTCGTTTATATTTTCGACATATAGTCGAAAATGGGTTCAAATAAATCCCTGAAATGTAGATTTTTATGTTATATGTATTTTTTGTGCTATAATTTCATTTTTGCCCCCCCCCCCCCCTCCAAACTGTTTTATATGACTTATTATACTTTTAACTAAAATGTAAAAAAAAACGGCGTTTTGTGACACTTTGACTAGACACAAACAAAAAGATAGTGTTTATTTTCTTTTTAATATTTTCCCTAGCTAGAAACTTCTACTTAAATTTTTATACACTTAAAAAACACATTTTCACGTTTAAATAAAATTTCAGATCGTAAAAAAGACCGCAAATGCCTATTGTTTTTCATTAGATACTTAACAAATACGCCGAACACGTCAAAAACGGCAAGTGTGACATTTCAACGGATTTAATAAAATGAACAATATTTACTAATGGAAGATAGAGAAAGTTTTATATTTATTATATAATTTTGACACAGGAAGGGTGGATATGTAAATTGTGATTTGTGTCTGCAGCATTCGTTCGAATTTTGAAGAGCTCTAATTTAAAATGAGAGATTTGTGTTTTGTGACAGAAATAAAAATTTCAAATACTAGTAATCGTAAATTCTGCGACGATCTTTTGACATATTGTAAGAAAACTTTTTATTTTTTGTCCTTGTCATATACGGAATAAAATGATATATTATTTACGAAATAATCTTTTTGAATTATTTTTTTATATTATTCTTATCTTCTCCCTATACATATTTTTTTACTTTTGAACTTTTCGTCCTGGTCAGATGCATCCAGTTAACGATGACTGTCATAAGTAAAACGTCATTAACACCAAAGACTTCTCCTTTCTGGGAATACCTCTTTTTTTTAAATTAAACAAAGACGAGAATAGCATTAAAACAACGCTAGTTATAGGTTGCGGTGTTACTTGTCCACACGCGCAAAATCAGTGCTTGTGTGAGCCAAAATTTGTTCCTGTGAAAAAAGTTCCAATGGAACTAATATCACAGGAAATATGTTCTGGGAGAACTTTTTTCACAGATGATTTCTATATAATTTGTTCCATCTCTATAAAATAAGTTAGGGATCATTCGAGTTACAAAATGAAAAAGTATTGATTTTAAGGCATATTCCATTTCTACTTTTAATTACGCACATTTTGATATTTACATTTGTACAGTTATCAATTCCGATACTTCGAACATATACAATAAAAGCGAACTGGGAAGCAAACCCCGCGTATTATCACCAACACCTTACGCGACGTCTAGATACATTTTACGATAAATAGAGTTAAAGCAAATGGTATTTAGGAACAAGCTAAAACATGATTATCTTGTTCATGGTCCTACATATTGACCAATGTCCATTTAATTATTGATTAACCTGGGCATTTATTATAACGGTCATGTGAATATTATTTTGTTCACGGGTGAAAAGAGTATTGATTTGTTTTCAGTTGTAGTCAATACTTAACGAAATTCAAAATGTCGGGTAAGATTTTATATATATCATTTTTTATGTTCCTCTTTCTTTGTACGATCAAGTAACATCATATGGATAGTATCATCGTATTTATTGGCATTTTGAATTTTATTATATATTTCAATATACATAGTTCTATTGTTGGAACCGCAACACACAATTGGGCCAATCGAAACATCAAACATTATGTATGGACAACCTAATTTTAAATAACGTTATGGAATATCCGTTTCACGATAGCGGATATGTTCCAAATGTAGTAACTACAATCACGTCCCCGTTTCCCCGAATGTGACCTATTACCATACTAACATGAGCAACACGACGGGTGTCACATGTGGAGCAGGATCTGCTTACCCTTCTGGAGCACCTGAGATCACCCCCAGTTTTTGGTGGGGTTCGTGTTACTCAGTCTTTAGTTTTCTTTGTTGTGTTTTATGTACTATTGTTTGTCTGTTGGTCATTTTCTTTTTTAACCATGGCGCTATCAGCTTATTTTCGACTTATAAGTTTGAATAAAATTGAGAATGGAAATGGGGAATGTGTCAAAGAGACAACAACCCGACCATAGAACAGACAACAGCAGAAGGTCAACAACAGGTCTTCAATGCAGCGAGAAATTCCCGCACCCGGAGGCGTCCTTCAGCTGGCCCCTAAACAAATATATATACTAGTTCAGTGACAATGAACGCCATACTAAACTCCAAATTGTACACGAGAAACTAAAATTAAAAATAATACAAGACTGACAAAGGCTAGAGGCTCCTGACTTGGGACAGGCGCAAAAATGCGGCGGGGTTAAACATGTTTATGAGATCTCAACCCTCCCCCTATACCTCTAGCCAATGTAGAAAAGTAAACGCATAACAATACGCACATTAAAATTCAGTTCAAGAGAAGTCCGAGTCTGATGTCAGAAGATGTAACCAAAGAAAATAAACAAAATGACAATAATACATAAATAACAACAGACTACTAGCAGTTAACTGACATGCCAGCTCCAGACTTCAATTAAACTGATTGAAAGATTATGTCTTCATCATATGAATATCAGGCACAATCCTTCCCGTTAGGGGTTTAGTATCATACCATCATAACATATATGAGAAGAACATAACCCGTGTCATGCCAACAACTGGTTTTTAAATAAATGTGTTTAGTGCCGATGCAAAGACCCTATAAGTGAATCAATATTAACGCCAAAATATGCAATCTTTAATGACCTGACAACAGTATCGTAACTATATCCCTTCTTAATAAGTCTATTTAAAGGTTTTGTTAGCTTCAGAGGTGAATACTGACATTTTTGTGCTTTATAAAGAATATTTCCATAAAAAATTGGATGTGAAATACCTGAACGTATAAGAAGTCTGCATGTTGAGCTATATTTACGAATGATGTCCTTATACCGATGATAAAATTTAGTAAATGTTTTGACTAGTTTGTGATATCGAAAACCCTGGTGTAATAATTTTTCAGTAATACATAAATTTCTCTCGTTAAAATCTAAAACATTGTTACATACACGAGCGAATCGTACAAGTTGAGATATATAAACACCGTAAGATGGTGACAAGGGAACGTCACCATCTAAAAATGGATAATTAACGATAGGAAATGAAAAATCATCTCTTTTATCATATATTTTAGTATTTCCATTTGGTATCTTTCGCCTCTCTTTTGCCCCTTGATTCAATATGCTTTCTCTTTGATGACAAAATTTGATTTGGGTAAACATTTATAGCTTGCTCTGTGGTGTGTGTTTTGTTCATTGTTGAAGGGCGGCATGCTTGATCTATAGTTCTAACTTCTACATAAAAACGATCATTTGGTCTCTGATGCAGATTTGTCTTATTGGCAATCAAACCACATGTTCTTATTTCTATATTAACCTGGATTGGTATTTCCAGACTGTTTGACCATCTCCTTATTTGTATATGGCAGTTATTCCTTTTTTTTTTTGATTTTTAGGTTATCCTCAACAGAACTATGGAAATGGAGGCTATCCACAACAGCAATACCCTCAACAACAGTATATCCAACAGCCTCCTGGATATTGTAAGGCTATATACATGTAGTTCTAGTATTGTTGAGTCTCAGTTTGGTTGTTACGGTAATCAAATAATAAAAAAAAATAAGTAAACAGCTTTTAAAGTACCAAATTAAAACACATTTAAAACCAAAGTGGAGGTTCAAGCCATGTTTGTTTTTGTTAGGGTTTTTTTTTTGGCATTTGTTTTGCGTCGTAAAATTTTAAGACCTTCCAGTCAGTCAGGGAGAGAAACAAAAACAAAATATAAATTAAAATACACCAATCAAAACCCATCCCATTCATGCAAATGTTCTGTTGGGAATCTTGTTTCTTAATTTTGCAATGATTTTCTGTTTGATTTGTTTAATTTATTTTACCTCGGACCATAAAACACAAAACGTTCGAACCAATAAGGGTTACTGTCTCGTTAACTTTGACTACAAATAACTTTTTATTCGTATTGAATAGAGTAAAGATAACATGAAAATCCATGTTCTGGGCTACTGCAAATGTGTAACTTTTTTACAGATGTTCAGCCAACTCCACCAGCACCTATGTCATCACAGCCTTTGACTGCGCAGCCGTATCAACCACCGCCGCCATACGCCTATGTAAGTTTTCAAGTATTCCTTATTTCGTATCTTCTTAGTAATATTCCATGGGAAATTGAACACACCCACCGTCCCTAAAAACTTTAAAAAAATTAAAAAAAAAAAGGTAAAATTACAGCCAATTTTGTGTCAAAATATAAGGTCTTCTAATTCCTAAATCTCAGGAGTGCCTCCCCCTTACACCAAATCATGGACCCGCGCTTGCTGTTAAAATTAATATTTAAAGTTTTGTAACCTTTTTATACATTCTAAAATTCCATCACAAAATATGTGTAAGTTTCACGTTTCGACAATGTTCAAAGTTCTTTTATTGTGTAAGTTTACCTCACCCTTATACAAGTTGTCGTAATTTCTGCTTTTTGCTATGTTTTTGTATAGTTTTAAAGCCAGCAAATACGAATAAACTCACAAAACTTGTGACTAAACTAAGGGATCTATAAATACGGCCGCCAAATCTGTTGTCTGTTCTCTCTCATCATTGGTAGCGTGAATAAATAATCAATAGTAGAAAATGAAACATTTATTAAACTTCTAGAACAGCCGATATATTTCCATACATGTACAATATTCGAGCAACAATTATATAATTTACATACGGGGCGGAGCTACTAAAATAACATTCTTTCTCTCACTGGTATTTTTGTACGGACCAAACGGGATTATCTTAATAAATTCTACAATGACAACGTAAATGATAAATGCAAGGCATACAGCTATCTGCGCTGCTTCTTACCTCTAAACTACGACCCTTACTTGTAATATAAACTGCGAGGCATACAGCTAAATGCGCTGCTTCTCACCTCTAGGAACCCCCGGGCTGAGCCTTGCTGCAAGCCAAATGTAAACACAGCAAAGACTGAGGAATTTGACCTTTGCACTGGTATTTATTTTTAAAATACCGGAAGTAAATATTCTAAGCCGGAACAGAAATGAAACGTCAAACGCTGACAAAAACATGGGAGTCCTCGACTCAAAATGATCCTTTCTTCGTAAGAAAATAGGTAAATCTATTTAGATAAAGCATATATTAACTTTAGCTTATGCTTCTTGTGTAGTTTTGGATCCATACTTAGAATATTTACCAAATGGCTGCGCTTTGAACAGTACATGACGAAATTGCGCCATTTTTGGCACTGATAATATAGTTAATAACTAAAAGTGTAACGTACGCTTTCTGTGCATTAAAAAGTCACAGAAACTATAAATACATATTATCACATTTTACACTCTCAAAACATAAAACTGATATTAAATCATTAATTGGGAACCACAAGTGCACATTTACAACTGCACATTTACAACACAAGTAAATAAAATAATCCCTGCCACAGTTTTATACAAACACGATTTCGAATTCATTAGTCACTTTGTGTACTAACATTTAAAGACTGTCGTAAGAGCTCCTTAGAGCCCATGTTCATTTTTTTTCTATATTATGTGCCGACTTTAAATAAACATTACTTATATACGACAATGTTGGTTATTAATAAATGTAAGTTAAAATTTAGAAAAAAATAATAAAATTGTCTGCATCCCAAAAACCTCTTGTTTTTGGCGCTTTAGATTTTGGCATATAGTATACTCCTATCTTGGTAGACCGTACGGTCTACGTTTATCTTTGGACGTCTTTTGGGGTTTCTATTGTAACTTGGATATTATCTCAGAAAGGTAAACCCATATTTCTTATTCATATCGATTAATTCATTCACAACTTGTCTAGTTATCAAAGGTACCAAGATTATAATTCAATACGCCAGATGCGCGTTTCGTCTACATAAGACTCATCAGTGACGCTCAGATCAAAATAGTTATAAAGCCAAACAAGTACAAAGTTGAAGAGCATTGAGGACCCAAAATTCCAAAAAGTTGTGCCAAATACGGCTAAGGTCATCTATTCCTGGGATAAGAAAATCCTTAGTTTTACGAAAAATTCAAAGTTTTGTAACAGGAAATACTTGAGGCAAACTAGACCTTTGGACTAGTGTCTAGACTTGGGTTAGATAAGACCTTTGGACTAGTGTCTAGACTTGGGTTAGATAAGACCTTTGGACTAGTGTCTAGACTTGGGTTAGATAAGACATTTGGACTAGTGTATAGACTTGGGTTAGATAAGACCTTTGGACTAGTGTTTAGACTTGGGTTAGATAAGACATTTGAACTAGTGTCTAGACTTGGATTAGATAAGACCTTTAGACTAGTGTCTACACTTGGGTTAGATAAGACATTTGGACTAGTGTCTAGACTTGGGTTTGATAAGACCTTTGGACTAGTGTCTAGACTTTGGTTAGAATAGACCTTTGGACTTGTGTTTAGACTTGGGTTGGATAAGACTGTTGGACTTGTGTCTTGACTTGAGTTAGATAAGACCTTTGGACTAGTGTCTAGACTTGGGTTTGATAAGACTTTTGGACTTGTGTCTAGACTTGGGTTAGATAAGACATTTGAATTAGTGTCTAGACTTGGGTTAGATAAGACATTTGAACAAGTGTCTAAACTTGGGTTAGATAAGACCTTTGGACTAGTGTCTAGACTTGGGTTAGATAAGACCTTTGGACTAGTGTCTAGACTTGGGTTAGATAAGACATTTTGACTGGTGTCTAGATTTGGGTTAGATACGACCTTTGGGCTAGTGTCTAGACTTCGGTTAGATAAGACCTTTGGACTAGTGTCTAGTCTTGGGTTAGATAAGACCTTTGGACTAGTGTCTATACAATTGAAGATCGAATGTTGACCTATAGATGTCTACTTCTATGTGATGTTGTTAGGTTATTGTCTCAATGACGTTTATTATGTACTTCCTTCTATTCATATCAATATTCATTGAGTTTACGGTAAATATGATCAACTGTTGCTTCATATGTATATACTAATTAAAAGTCAGATGCGGATCGATGTTTTCAAATAATGGGTCTTAACATCCCGCGCACCTCAATCAACCGAATCCACCCCCTGTAAGTGTTTATGTGTATGCTGCCTACAAAACTATTCTACAATTATATGCTTCTTACATGTTTTGCTTCGTCGTTGTATAATGGCACATTGAATCCAACAAAGTTATACGCAGTGCTTCTTCGTATTGTTGCCAGTTTTGCATTCACACACAGAAACACGCGCAAAAAAGGCTTACGCTATGCTATGCCTTTATATGTTGGAAAACTCCAGTATAGGACAAATTCGTGTATAGAAACAGTTTTGGTCTCTCAAACTTTTAGCCTCGAGTGTACCTGATGAGATTTATTTCACAAACGTGTCGTTTGTCTGTGAGATCCGGGTAGCAGCTAACATGAGGTATAGATATACTTCTTTAAAAACTAACGTCAGAATAAAGATACTCATATAAGAGGGTCTGGATGGGGTTTTGTAGAATAGAGAATAATTGGCCAAATCTACAGAAAAATGAAAAAAAAAAATAAAATAGAGAAAAATTAGGCAAATTAATATAGAACAGACAATGATGGGTAACAACAGAGAAAAATGACCTAAAAACAAAGAATACAGAAATGAAGGACCCCATCCAGAACCCCGTATAATATTATTCAGTTATCACACCAAAACAGTTTAAAAACCTTGTCTACACAAATGACAGGAGGAGCTGTGTAGCGAGGTACTATTACCTTTTGGGCTTAACATATTCTTGTTTTTATTATTCTAATTAGGCACCCCCTCAACAGTATGCACAGCAAAGTCCGACAATGATGGTTCAACACACCACAGCTAGCAATATACCGGTAAGAATGATTTTTATTTATAAATATTGATGACATAAATGGGAATCACAGTACTGGAATGATATAGGAGCCCATCATTACTAAAGTTCTTAAACAAACTTTTTCTGACGTTATGTAATTGAACATATGGTTTTGACTTTTAAGAAATGTAAGATCAATTTTGTTTTCATATATTTGTTATTCAAACATCGTCGTAACTACAGCTTGTATTGTGTTGATCAGAAATAGCGGTTTTTCAGCGTACTGTTCTGAGCAAATCTTCCAAAATCAAGTGTCACCCAATTCTGATATTTTCAATGGGGATCGTTATGCAATCGTGGCATGAAATTTAGTAAAATGAAAACAAGCAATTGATAATAGAAACGGCAGTATCTTGTATAATTTTGTTTTAACTTTTTCATTTATACTTATTTCCCCATTAAAATGATCATGATATGCGACAATGCAACCGACCTTATATATAAAATTTGTATAGCTTCGACAAAAATATCTTAGAAATGTACCCAGTTCAATCTATTTGTTACTATAACTAAACGAATACAATTTAGATATGACAAAAAGAACAAAAGTAAGCATATATTAGTGTATTGCTGAAAATGATAAATAGATATTAATACGATTAAACATTGGAAATTTTTTCTTTTTTTTTTATAGTTACTTCTCAGTGAAAATAAATATAAGTTTACTTAGTTGTCGTAGACAAAATAGATATAAGTTTACTTAGTTGTCGTAGACAAAATAGATATAAGTTTACTTAGTTGTCGGAGACAGAATAGATATAAGTTTACTTAGATGTCGGAGACAAAATAGATATAAGTTTACTTGGTTGTCGGAGACAAAATAGATATAAGTTTACTTGGTTGTCGGAGACAAAATAGATATAAGTTTACTTGGTTGTCGGAGACAAAATAGATATAAGTTTACTTAGTTGTCGGAGACAAAATAGATATAAGTTTACTTAGTTGTCGGAGACAAAATAGATATAAGTTTACTTAGTTGTCGGAGACAAAATAGATATAAGTTTACTTAGTTGTCGGAGACAAAATAGATATAAGTTTACTTAGTTGTCGGAGACAAAGTAGATATAAGTTTACTTAGTTGTCGGAGACAAAATAGATATAAGTTTACTTAGTTGTCGTAGACAAAATAGATATAAGTTTACTTAGTTGTCGGAGACAAAATAGATATAAGTTTAAAATAGATATAAGTTTACTTAGATGTCGTAGACAAAATAGATATAAGTTTACTTGGTTGTCGGAGACAAAATAGATATAAGTTTACTTGGTTGTCGGAGACAAAATAGATATAAGTTTACTTAGATGTCGGAGACAAAATAGATATAAGTTTACTTAGATGTCGGAGACAAAATAGATATAAGTTTACTTAGATGTCGGAGACAAAATAGATATAAGTTTACTTAGTTGTCGGAGACAAAATAGATATAAGTTTACTTAGTTGTCGGAGACAAAATAGATATAAGTTTACTTGGTTGTCGGAGACAAAATAGATATAAGTTTACTTGGTTGTCGGAGACAAAATAGATATAAGTTTACTTAGTTGTCGGAGACAAAATAGATATAAGTTTACTTAGTTGTCGTAGACAAAATAGATATAAGTTTACTTGGTTGTCGTAGACAAAATAGATATAAGTTTACTTGGTTGTCGGAGACAAAATAGATATAAGTTTACTTGGTTGTCGGAGACAAAATAGATATAAGTTTTCTTGGTTGTCGGAGACAAAATAGATATAAGTTTACTTGGTTGTCGGAGACAAAATAGATATAAGTTTACTTGGTTGTCGGAGACAAAGTAGATATAAGTTTACTTGGTTGTCGGAGACAAAATAGATATAAGTTTACTTGGTTGTCGGAGACAAAATAGATATAAGTTTACTTAGTTGTCGGAGACAAAATAGATATAAGTTTACTTAGTTGTCGGAGACAAAATAAAACACAATTACAGATGCCTATCAAGTATGAAATGAAAAAGAAACAAAACGGGAAAAAAAGAAAAAAAAACGAAAAGAAACGAAACGAAACGAAACGAAACAAAAAGAAACGAATTAAATGGAAAAACCAAACGAAACGAAAAGAAAAGAATTAAAACGAAACGAACTAGAAATTTATCGAATATATTATAATAACGAAACGAAATAAACATATTCTCTGTTTTTTTTTCTTCATTTAAAACCTTAGAATGGATTGTTAATAAGAAGCACTTGGATGATTGTGGTGAATAAGTGTTTAACGTCCAGTGACAAAATATTACATGCAGTACACGTTATGGTGTTTATGGTGTAAAATTAATTTGATTCATATTTCATTTCAATGGGACTCTTCCGAATTTTATTAGCTTATCTGGCCAAAGGGACCATCTGATAGTTTGCCATCACTTTCCGTCGTTCCGTCCATTCATGTGAATTTTGCATATTTACATCTCTGGAAACTTGGACCAAAATAAAGTTGGTGTCTTCCGCTTCTCTTAAGAAGATAACCAAACAATGGTTCTAACAGCTTGAGTGCATGGTCACGTGGTGACGTGCTCGCCTCAATTGCAGGACTGAGGTCATCATTTCGATACCTGGTCAAACAAGAACTTCAATATATATTTTTTCTGCTTCCCCCCAATCAACAGTATTAAAACGGAAGAGCAACAACTTGTCTGCTCAGAGTCGGAATAATGTGTCCTTGTATAGTGAAATTTCGTCTTGCGGACTTTTTCCTTGTGCAGCAACACATTTAAAATCCGACTCATCATATAAGAATAAGAAGATGTGGTATGATTGCCAATGAGACAACTTCTTCATAGTAAACAACTATAGGTTATCGTACGGCCTTCAACAATGAGCAAAAAAACATACAGCATAGTCAGCTATAAAAGATCCCAATATGACATATGTAAAACAATTCAAACGAAAAAAAATAAACGGTCGGATTCATGTACAAAACAAGGGACGAAAAAGAAATATGATATACAGCAACAAACTGCAATCACTGAATTGCAGGCTCCTGACTTGGGACAGGCACTTACAGAATGTGGCGGGCCGTTAAACATGTTTGCGGGCGCCCAATCCTCCCTCAAACTTGGGACAGTGGTGTAACAGTACACCACATGAACAAACTATATAAATCCGTCAATTGAAAATGGCTTTACTCATCAGATCGATACAAAGCAGAAAAACAAATAACAAAAACACAGACCGGACGTTATCACTATCATCCAAATGCTTCTTATTAACAATCCATTCTAAGGCTTTAAATGCAAAAGGAGAGAATATATACATTTATATGTTTAATTTTGATTTGATTTCGTTTTATTTTTGTTTTGATTTGTTTTGTTTCGTTTCGTTTCGTTTTAATTTCGTTTTGCACTTTTAATATGCACCCCAAAATTACGCATCAAATACCTATTTCAGATTATTTCCTTCAGTGTGGATTCCAATGTCCCCTATGCAGAACAAAAATATACCAGTAGTTATATAAGTGTATGTACACATAACTGTCCGCGACAGAAGGTCCTGCAACCTCTGTAAATCAATTTCACCATATCTTTTATTCATTTTATATTTCAGCCGCCTCCTCCTGGTTGTTCACCCAATTTGGCTCAAATGTCACAAGGATATTCGCAACAAGGATATTCGAATGGACCACAAAGAAATCCAAATCTTTGGGATAACGACGGTGGAGTAAATTTCGGGCTTTAACTTTTGACATAATGCATGTTTGCATTCAAGCTCATGTCAAATCACATTGACAGGATTTTTTGAACGATGGGTGAAGGTCTAGATGGCCTCTCTTAATTTCTGTACTCTTAATTTTGAGGCAATTCTTCTCTAATAAATATTATTTGGCTTATTATTATCATCGAATTCTTTATATTTTAGCACCACATTGTTTCTATTCTTATCTTTTTTTATCCATTATTCTCTATTCTGTAAACCCCACCCTAATGGGTTCTGGTCATGAAATTAAATTCTAATGCTTCATTTACACTGTATGTCGCCAATAAACGTGAGTTTATTTGTCTTTAAGTCTTTCAAAGAAAACAATTATAAACATGATATACGTTTTCTACTACTTTTGTTACGAATAAATGATTGATATGAACATAAGAAGATGAGGCTTGATCGATTATGTGCGAGGGCTTTATAGCCAGTCAAGGTCGTTAAACACAGCCATCATCATTTGTTTGATAATGAGAAAACTACCCAAATGAGGTAGATTTAAGCAACCATAGGTCAACGTACGGCCTCGAATAATGAGAAAACCCTTACCGTATAGTCAGCTATAAAAGGCCCCGACATTCAAACGAGAAAACAAACAACCTGATTTATGTCAAAATAATAATGAGAAACAAATATGACAGACAACAACAAACGTCCAACACTGAATTATAGGCTCGTGACGTGAGACCGGCAAATACAGAATGTGGCGGGGTTTAACATGTTTGCGAGCGTTCATCCCTCCACTGATCTTGGACAGTGGTGCAACAGCACAACACAAGAATAAACTATAAACAAACATTTGGAAAGGACTGGATTCATCAGATCGACACGAAAAACAAAAACGAAATCCATCAAACAAAAAGACAGATATAAAGAGTACTCGTAGCAACAGAAAGCTAGTTCAAAGTCAATAGACAAACCATGTTTTCATAGCCTTAAACATTGCTAAGTATTTTATAAGTATATCATTTTTCTGTTTTAAATTGATAACCTTTAAGAAAAAGTTTATTCAAATGATCAATAAAATTACATGGATCGTATCTAAACTTACGGGCTCTATAAACAACATCACCGTAAAAAATAGGATGTGATATCCCGTTTGTAATAACTTGAAGGTATCTGCAAGTACTGCACAACCAAACTTCCAAACCAAATCGTTGTATATATGAAATAAGTAAAGGTTTTATGTAATTTGTGGTTAAGAAACCCCTGACTTACAAGTTAAAAAAAAATACTACAGACACGGCCATGGTGAACGGGTTGAAAAATTCACACCGTGACCAAACTTTTTCTACATTGGCTAGAAGTATAGGGGAAGGGTTGAGATCTCAAAAAACATGTTTAACCCCGCCGCATTTTTGCGCCTGTCCCAAGTCAGGAGCCTCTGGCCTTTGTTAGTCTTGTATCATTTTTAATTTTAGTTTCCTGTGTATAATTTGGAGTTAAGTATGACGTCCATTATCACTGAACTAGTATACATATTTGTTTAGGGGCCAGCTGAAGGACGCCTCCGGGTGCGGGAGTTTCTCGCTGCATTGAAGACCCATTGGTGGCCTTCGGCTGTTGTCTGCTCTATGGTCGGGTTGTTGTCTCTTTGACACATTCCCCATTTCCATTCTCAATTTTATTGTTCGGTCAGCACAATGGGTCTTCAACGCAGCGAGAATATCCTGCACCCGGAGACGGGCTTCAGCACCTAAACAATAATGTATATCAATTCGGCGAAATGGAAACCGCACTAAACTCCGAAACATACGTATAAACCAAAATTTTTAAAAACACACACAGCTAACAAAGGCTAGATGTTCCTGACTTGGGACAGGCGCAAAAATACGGCGGGGTTTAACATATTTGTGAGATCTCAACCCCCCCCCTATACCATAGCCAATGTCATAAACAAACACACAGCAAAACGCACAGTAAATCTCAGTTCAAAAGAAGTTTCAGTCCGATGTTAGAATAGGTAACAGAAGAAACTAAGCAAAATGACAATGATCAACATAAATTAAGAAAGGACTACTAGCTGTTTCTGACATGTCAGCTCCAGAGAGACTTCAATTATACTGATTAAACTATTATGTCTTCATCATATGAAAATCAAGGCGTGTGAAAAGGAAATGTCCAAAACTAGAAAAAAGACAAGTATTGCTTTGTATAATAGATTAACTATCAGTAACTTCCTTTAGGTAAATTTCCGAAGTATAATTAGAAAATTCTTGATTATGTTTAATGCAAAAATATCACCAAGGTGAGTGTTGTTGAGTATGTATTAATATCTATGGTACATATACTCTGAGAATACCATAACATGTGTTATAGTAGTCTCAGATATACTATATGTCTAAAAAAAACACAATAATTTAATTGTAAGGCTTAGTCTACGGACATTCTTTTGTCATACATTGATTGACTGGCATGACAATAGTAACTTCTGAATTTCACATGGTTATGGTAATATTGATCCCATGGTCAATGAACCTGGTCGATTTTTTAAAATATTTTGAGACTTTAAAGAGTTAATGACAGATCTTCAGTTTCGTTTTAATTTAAACACTGTAATAGACTCGCAAGACATATTGTGCACTTATCTGTCAATAGTCGGACTGTCCTCTACATCTTTTTGGTTATTTTATTCCTTAGGTTACTGTCTGATAGACGTTTACCCAAATCCCCCTTTTCCTTACGTTAAAACAAAGCTATATTCACTGTATTTTGTGGTTCTCTCCGGCTTCCTCCACCAATAAAATGTGACCGCCACGAAATAGCACTATAGTGCTGAAAATGGCGTTAAACAAAAATCAATTAATCAATCAATCATTTAAGATATATGAGTGAATAACAAGATGAAGAACAAATCTAAAATAAAACAGAATTTTTGTTGGTTATCAAAAAATACTTATTCCACATACATGACTGCTAATTTTGATAATAAAATAAGAACAATAGGAAGGCCCAATAAAAAAGGTAACTCAAATGTAGTATCATGCCCACTGTGAAAGTAAGAGGTCACATGTTTGATGACTTACAAGGTAAAACCAAAGATTGTATCATCCATATAAAGCAAGAACAAACTTGCGTTCAGGGTTGCTAGGGTGATATATTCTTAAGTATACAGTTTTGCAAACATTAAAACGTTGGTACATGTATAAGCAATGCTGTCTGGTATTCATATGACATTTATATGTTATTATACTGAACTTGTGGGTAATACTTGCCACTGGATTGTAAGGACCAATCAGTCATGGGAACAGTATATCTAACTATGTTCCTGATTAACCTTGAAATAATATATTTTTCTACTCTTGATACGAATACATTATTGATATAGAAAGAAGATTGATGAGACAACTATCCATCCGTGATGAAATAAAGTAGATAAAAGCAACCATAGGTTAACGTACAGCCTTCGACAATTAGCAAAACCCATACCGTATAGTTAGCCATAAAAGGCCCCGACATTACAAAATGTGAAACAGTTCAAACAAGAAAACCAGAAACCTGATTTATATTAAAACAATAAAAAATAGATATGACAGACAACAACAAACGACCAACACTGAATTACAGGCTCGTGGCTTTGAGACAGACACATACAGAATATGGGAGGGTTAAACTTGTTTGCGATCGCACTCAACCCTCTCCTTAGCTACGATAGTGGTGCTATAGCTCACCTTAAGAACAATTTGTAACTAAATTTTCGCAATATTGCTTAAAAATTTTTTCAGTCTTCAAAAGCACAAAAAGATAAGGCACTGGCTACGAAAACTGACCTAATCACAAAGTTTAACAAATTTATGAAGACCCCCAAACAGCATACTTAAGTCTCGCTTTTTGACTCCCTGACATGTGTATTAGTAAGTTAAATGACCATGACTCTACAAACAGGTCTTACTAAACTGTTGCACTGATGCTAAAGCATAACCAACTATAAATGTCGGACATTAAAGTAACCTAACTTTACCTCTTGTAGTTATATGTACTAGGGATCACATTAATCAAACCATACGATGCCATTTTCCCTACATTGGATGACTAACACATATTTCTGGATAACCTACAATAAGCACTCAATTTTGTTTCTAATTTATTTCACATCTCATTTGTTTCACATTTTGCTGTAATTGACCTTATATAGATTACTATACATTAAGGTTTGCTCATTATTGAAGGCTGTACAATGATCTGTAGTTACTTGTCACTTTCTATTGTCATTTAATCTCTTTTGGAAAGTTATCTCATTGGCAACCATACCACATCTCCTCATTTTTATATAAATCCAAAGTGAAGACAGTAAATGTGTTTACATATATAAGGAGATATTTATCTTAAGTTTCATAACATTTGGTTGAGGCAAACTCAAGTTAGAGAAAGGAAACCAATTTTGGGATGTACAGACGGACGTACGTACATACAGACGGACAAGGATAAAACTTAATGCCCCCATCGCTACGGCGGGGGCATAAAAAAATTTGAATTTCAGATACAGATTATTTTTGTCATGACCAAAAAACTTCTTTAATTTAATAAATCAAAACAAATTTTATAAAGTTGTGGTTTCAGTTCTGTAGACATAAAGGACCAATAAATCAAATGTGTGTCAATTCATTTTTTAATATATCAGTTTACAGGGAAGAAATGATTTTATTTTACTACATTAAGACAATGGAATTTTCTGCAACTTTATTGAAAAATTATTTATATCACAGAAAACAGTAACAATTAAAATATACAATAAATCAACAATAATTAATATATACAATAAAGACATCAAAAGTATCTTAAATAGCAGATACATATATTTACAAAAAATTAAACTTTGATTTCAAAGATAGAACATTTATTCTATGACCTTAAACAACAAAAATTGCAACAACAGGCACTTTAAAAAAAACTCTGTTTACTATGTCATGTTTGACAAAAAAATAACTATAAAAAATATTTTTAACATATTAAAGAAAAGATATAATAAAACTATATAATAGTGGATACATTTCAATGTGATTAAATGGGTGAAATACCATTTCTTGCTTTCAATGTAATTTTTTCAATTTTTTTAATTTTGGTACTGCAAAATGCAAGTTTTACTAAAAAAATTTCAGATATGTTTAGTGTATGATCATACAAATATTCCATCAGATTAAAATACTGATCTCATCAAAATCATGTGTCCATGCTCTGTTTTCAAGGATCTGGCAACGTTCCATTCTAATTTCTGTTCTGGTAATTATAACATCAGTCAATGAAATTCCAGACTTCAGATTTTTGAAGGTGTTATCAATGTAACAAAACCTGCGAATCCTGATCATGAAAGTTCTTAAAAATAGAAGTTAGAACACATTGCAGGCAAATCCTTGTTAGCAAAGCATGGACATATTATCTGTATCTCAATCAGACTGACAAATATTCCAATATACCCTAAAAATACACACATATATGTTGAATAACACAACAGTTCAATCTACCTAAATGTCTAAAAGAAGCTTTGGCATTTTAAATTTCCAATCACCTATAAAAAAAAAACTAATATTCATTTCATGCAGTCCTTAGAATGCTGAAGATTTGACATTGCTGTGAACTGATAATGGGTTACACAGTAACAAAATTAGAGTCCTCCGAGTGTGTATCCACCACCGTTCCCTCCAGTCCAGAAGTTACTCCGTTGTTGTGTTCCTATTACAGTCTGCCCCTGCATCTGGGCATATTGGGCGGCATTAGGTGCATATCCTGGAGGAGGGGGCTGAAAAAAGGCGGAAATTAATATTTCTGATAATTCAGAAATTTATGTGGTATCCTTATCAATGCGAAAAATATTACCAGATTTAAATAGCATTATTTAATCAATTTCATCTGATTTTAACTATTGAGATTGGATAAAATCCAATACCATAATCTTTTAGATTTTATTTAATTATGGATATTTTGATATAAGATCTAGCTGAGTTGCATTAATATTCACATTTCAGTAAATTTTTGATAAATTGCATTCATAAATGAACACATCATTTTCTTAATGTATTGTATACCATGATTAACCCTGTTGTAGATTTCAAAGAAAACTCATTTTCTGTCTGAAGAAAACATGGTGAAGTGAAGGATGAATTTGTTTCACTGATTAAATTAAATTCAGAATCAAATAAATGCGTTTCTCAAATTCTTTGGTAATTGAACCCTTTCTTGACCCATTGTTAAAAAAAATTTCATCAACGTGTGGTTGCTGATGATATCAGTAGATGATTGGCCAAGTTCAAAGGTCATAACCTTTACAGCTGATGAATCGAAATGTGCAAACAGGTGCAAACAGGTGTTAGAGAAATTGACAACTTTATATCTGTATGACATAGATATCAGGAATGTGGAAGGCACTTGAAGGGGATTTTTGCTTATCAAGAATGATAATTTATTTTTAATAATCATTAGAGAAACAGATTCTTTCATAGTTACCCATGGATTATTGGAGTTATCCAATCTCAATAGTTAAATTATCGATAAATCTGATAATCCACTGGTACCAATTTGAGAATCTATATGTGCATTGTACTAAAAAAAAACCTCTAAAAACAATAATTATCAATTGCAAGTACTCACAAATAAACCCTATCACACAAAACTTAACGTTGTACAATGTTAAAGATCCAAAGTCAATAAAGCACGACCACTAAATGGCTTAACATTAATGTGGTTACAAACAGATCATTACAGGAAATAATTTATAGAGTATGTTAGAAAGAACAGATTTTAGATTTGCTTGCTTGTTATGATGAACAATGAAATTGTTATGAGCTCTGGTTCTACCTACCTTCCTTGGGAGGAGTCAACTGTCAGACAAAAAGCCAACACAAAAATAGTAGGGACTATATATATAAACATTATAAAACCAGTTTTAGATGTTGGTCATTCATGGAAATGAAATTTTACAAGCGCTGCAAGCAAAGCTCACAAAATGTATTCATCTGAATAATAATAATTTAAAAATAGGAGCCACATCCACTCTGTTTTTGTTAGATGTACTTCTCTATGGATCGATCTGATGAGTTAAGCCCTTTTCAACTCATTTTTAAAGTTTGTTCTTATGTTGTACTGTTACACCACTGTCCCAGGTTAGGGGAGGGTTGACGCGCATTCAAACTAGTTTAATCTCGCCACATTCTGTATGTGCCTGTCCCAAGTCAGGAGCCTGTAATTCAGTGGTTGTCGTTTGTTGCTGTATACTAGTATTATATTTGTTTATCGTTCCATATTTTGTACATAAATCAGGCTGTTAGTTTTCTTGTTTGAATTGTTTTAAATTTGTCATTTTGAGGCCTTTTATAGCTGACTATGCAGTATGGGTTTTACTCATTGTTGAAGGCCGTACAGTGACCTATAGTTGTTAATTTCTGTGTCTTTTGGTCTCTTGTGGAGAGTTGTCTCATTGGCAATCATACCACATCTTCTTATTTTTATATTGACCTGGCAGACATATATACCTACAAGCCTTATTCACAACACACCCTCTAATAGCATCAGGCATTATTAATATTCTTCGATACTGGAAAGCTATATAATGTACACTTTATTATATACATGTACTTATAACAGACGATTTTGATATGATATAATACAGATTTTGGGATTTGATAATGCCTGTGTAACTACGACTAATAACTGGTACAGAACAATGGATATTGATTGTATTACTCTAAACTTACAGGTATATTTGGTTGTGCTATTCCATCAAATCTGGCACCTGAATCAAAGACATTATTGGCTACGAATGGTTGTGGATTTTGTATTGGATAACCTCCTTGTTGTGGGGGTGCCTAAAATATAAATTGTTTTACAATATGTAGGAAAAAGATAGAACTGAAATGAAAGATTTTCTACAAAAGTAGTCTGCTCAATTCAATTGTTTATAGATATTGAAACAAAAATGAGAAATGATTGCTATCTGCATCTGATGTATCATGTATACCAGTCATTTACAGAGAGGGATATAGCAGGGGTGGCTGGGCCCAAATTGTGAAGCTAAATATTGATTAATGCATGCTAAAGTTGCCTTGGTGAACCCCCCCCTTTTTCAAATCCTGTATGTGCAACTGATTTACTGATTTACATTTCTTGTTTGTAGAATTTGTTTGCAAGAAAAAGTAGGCTTATTTTTACAAACTGGAAATGTGTATGTATGTACTTTGATTCTGTACTACCTTCATATTAAACAAGAAACTGCTTTCTTTGTTCACACGTAATTATTATTGGCTAAAGAAGATATTATAAAAACATTTGAACATTTTATACATGAATATTTCGACAATTGAAGGTATAAACTCTTATGTAATTTATGATAAAATTTATTTCATTTTCCTCAAAATTTAGTTATTATATCAAAATTGTCTATGATGTTAAAACTCCTGCTCATCAATAACAACTCGTCCTGAACATGCATGAAATATTTGCCACTGGATGTTAAGCAACCAACAATCATAGTTCAAAAGTTTAAACTGAAATCAGATAATAATCCTTACTCCTTGAGAGGTGTCACTCAAGGTAATATGATAGTTCCTAAGCCAAAAGCTGAGCTATTTAAGAAATCTTTTGTTTATTCTGGATCAGTGTTATGGAATGGACTACCACACAAAATGTGTAAAGCTCAAAACACTTATACTTTTAAACAAAGTATCAAGAAGTACTTAACACAGTCCTGATAAGATTATGTTTTCTACAATGTATTTGTATATTCTTTTATTTTTATTTGTATTTGATTTTTTGACTACATGTGCATCTTGAACAGCCTTATATCTTATCATGTTAGTAATATTACATTGAACTAATTGACTGTAAATTAACTATGTGTAAATATCTGTTTTTGATTGTATTGTAATTTGTATGTGAGGGCCTCAGGGAAGATTAGTTTATTGTAACTAACTGAGTTTACCCTCTTTAGATAAAGAATTTATTATTTATTATTATTATTATAATCAATCATCAATAACAAAATTATAACTCTATTTCTTGTTACAAATTTTTTCAGAAAAATAAACAGATTAAGGTACGGTTAAGCACTCACAAACATGTTTAGCCCTTTAATTGTCTGTCCCAATCCAACAACCTCTAATTCAGTGGTTGTTGTTGGTTGCTGTCTGTCATATTTGATTTTCATTTATTGTTTTGTCATATATCAGGCTGCTGTAGGTTGTCCATTTAATATTAAGTCAACAAAATGTACTGACTAACGAACTAATGAAATTACCCGACTTGACTGTAAACATTTCATTGCAAGTTATATTGGGAAATCCTTAAACATAGTATGACTAACATGACCAAGGACCGCAAGTAACTACTAACTATATACAATGATAATACCATGATATACTGAGGATTCATCTATTTTTGCTGGTACCAATTTTTATGGATTGAGTAAAACTTACATATTCATGGATATTTGATTTAGTTGTTTTTACAAAGTCTGCATGTATTCCAATAGAATACTTGTAATGCAGTGAATGTTTAAATTCATGGTTCTGCAGTACCCACGAAATCCACGAAAATCAGTATCAAACAAACAATAACTAATCCACAGTATATGTTATTAAAGATACTTACGTAAGAATAGGGTGGTGGTGGTCCCTGGGGTGGTGCACCATAGGCTCCAGGTGACTGATAAGACTGTGCCATGTGAGTTACTGTCATTCCTGGTGCTGGTGAGCCATCTGTTTAATACAAAGGTTTTTACTTTAAGTTAAAATCAACTTTGATTTTCTTCAAAAATGTTTTGGACATTATGCAAAATCATGATTTCTTCATTGTTTATGGTTTTGCTTTATGAAATATAATTGGAAGTGAAGCAGCTGGTATTAAAGAAGAATCAGGAATGATTTCTAAAATACATATCAGTAGATTAAGTACATTAAGAGCCAATCTGTCCAAGTCTCATGCAATGGTGAAAACATGACAAACATAAACTGTTGACACAGAGATATGTCTTACATTTTGTTATTTTGATATTATAATGCAAATATTGAAATTAAAATGGTTTTATTTAAACATGTTAACTTTGCAAATCATTGAAAGTCAAATGCAATGAACTATGACTGAAGGTGTAGAGCCTAATAACCTTCATGCAAATGAGAAATGCCAATGCTTTTAAAACTGCATACCAAATATCATTGACTTATCATAAGTTGTTCCCTTTAAACATGTTAAACAAACCTAATCACAAACTAATACATGTAAATTAAGCAAATGTTTCAAAGTCATTAGACCCTGACTGAGAGGGCCGCTCAGGGTGGGGGCAAATAATCTCCATGGAAATGAGATGTGTAAATGCTAAAACAACTGCATACCAAATACCATTGACCTACAACTAGTGGTTCCCCATAAACTGAACTAATCACAAACGAATACATTGTTGACGCCACAGACGCCACTGACAACAGCATAGTATATATATATATATTGCTAATTATGTGTATATATAATTATATGTATATATTTTAATATTCATATCAAATACAAAATTAATAAAGATGATCATGAAATGCTCATAACCCATTATTAATGCTATTTTGTATTCACATACATGTCTGATACATTTTTGGTGTAAAACTGTGTGTTACTATATATAACATGATGTTTGATGAAATGGCTCATAAGGCCTTTGGGGAAGGAAATCAAAATGTAACAGTATGTAAGTAAAGGCCCAAATACATACCAGCATCATTATTCACTGGGTAAGCAGTTTGATAATTTAAAAGAATTTCTGGGTCTTGAACCATTTATACCCTTTATAGTGACTTTTGCTTTTTTCTGAATGAAAATTTTACATGCAAAATGTAAATCATACATGTATTTAATTATGTTTTGTATTTGTTTACATTAATTCTGAAAGGTGTTATAAGTACTCAAATTACATTCTACATACATGTACAAATGGACCATTAAGTACTATATATGTATATATATGACCAGAGACATATAATAATTGTATTATATGTCTCTGATATGACACATCAATATAACATGTCATATGAAAACTTACGAACAAAACTACTAGTGTATCCTGGTGGCCCTTGCTGATATTGTTGTGTAGGGTATCCAGCAGTGGGATAACCTTGGGTAGGGTACCCAGGTGTTTGGTAAGGTGACTTATTTGATTTTCCTGGAGTGAAAAAAGAGAATTATTGATAAATACATATAACTCAATAATAAATAATACCAGTAGTTAAAGGCAGAGCACAAAAATCATTATACATGAAAAAACACAAAAGAAGTACATGAAGTATGTTTGCAGAGTATACAATGTACATGATGTTTGTGTAGCAGGCAAAAGAAAATCTGTTTTAAGTACAAATAAAAGAAGATGTAGGGTATATACTGTAAACCAACTTATTTTCGCAACTTTCGCGAGTAGAAAAATTTCGAGTATATAAATCGTAGCGAATATGTAAAACTTGGATTATCTCTTAATTAACTTCATCAGGTAAATTTGAGAATCGCGAAATTTAATGGCCGCGAAATGGGCTAGAAAGGGCTTAACACGAAAATAAGTTGGTTTACAGTATGCAGGGTTCATTCTATTAAAGACACACTATTGCAGGATTCTCAGTTTTTAAAAATGTCTGGCTCATTTTAAAATATCAATGTGGCAGGATGGCAATAATTTATTTCAAATACCCAGTTTTAATCATACATGCAGACATATGTTTTACCACAAACCATCCGCAAAACAACCCAAGATAAACTGCTTCGCTGAGCGCAGCTGGATACGCCCACAGAGGTCCAACCCTGAACAGTTGGGGCAAAAATGGACACAATATTTAAGCTTGATATAGGTCTGAATTTGGATTGTAATTACATATTTGATATGTTATAGGTTTCTGAATAAATGTATTCAAAGAACTTGAAATTGGTTATATGAAAGATTTCTTGCTGTTAAGCAATACATTGTGCTGTTGTGCAATACTTGGTAAATCTGTTGTCAGACTATAAACAAATAAAATCTTATAACTCTGAAATGTAAAATCGAAAATTTATAAAAATCAAAAGGGAGCTTACAAAAATAGATATAAACAATTTACCAAAGTCTCATAAAAAATGCTGAAAGCATTTTTGTGTTATTGTCCGAAAACTGGAAAATCCCCCTTTTTGTAATGAATAAAACCCCATAAATATATAATCTGAAATTTATAAAAATCAAAAGGGAGCTCATGTCGATAGAAATAAACAATTCATCAAAGTTTCTTGCAAATATGTGAAATTGTTTTTGAGTTATTGTCTGAAAACTGGAAAATCCCCCCTTTGTTAATGAATAAAACCCCAAAACTCGGAAACGGTAAATCCGAAATTTATAAAAAAACAAAAGGAGGCTCACGTCAATAGATATGAACAATTCACAAAAGTTTCATGCAAATTGGTGAAATTTTTTTTGAGTTATTGTCCGAAAACTGGAAAATCCCCCCTTTTTTAATGAATAAAACCCCAAAACTTGGAAACGGTAAATCCGAAATTTATATAAAAAGAAAGGGAGCTCGCGTCAATAGATATAAACAATTCATCAAAGTTTCATGCATATTGGTTAAAGCATTTCTGAATTAATGTCCGACATGTTGATGACGGACAGACGGTTAGCGGTATACCATAATACGTCCCGTAAACGGGCGTATAAAAATCCTTGATGGTATTGGTTAATAAATGCACCCATTTTTTATGAGTTCCACATATTTGTATACTGGTATATCATGTATATAAAATGCTTCAGAATGTAATTTCAGGATCAATTGAACTGACTCTGATAAAGTTCATGATTTAGTTTGGGAAACCTTTACAAAAATCACAGACAACAACAGGAGCACAACAACAAATCTGGTAGAAGAATCTGTTCATTTGCTGTTTTAGTTAAATACTGTCAAGCAGTTTCAAGAATTTACAGATTTACAAAGTGTGATGCAGACAACACTGCAGATGAACATACTGACCATGCTGACTTATAACTACAGAAGAGATCCCCATGTGTTAACCAAGCTGGACAATGACAATACACATTATATTGGTAACTAATATATACATAAATACAGCACTTTTTTTAGTTATAACATTTACATTACAGATTATAGCTAGGATAACCAGATAAGTTCTGACAGCATTTTAATTTACTATCATGAAAACAGAGATATGAAACATGTTATATGTGAAAATGCAACCTTATCACATGCTTATACTGAGGATTCACTAATTATAGTTCCTGGGATACCAATATTCATATATTTTGTGGGTATAGATAAACAACGAATTTAAATGTTCAACAAAGTCAGAATTTTCTATAGTTTTGTATGTACATGTAGACTTTGACAAAACCAGAAAATCAAATATCCATGAAAATACCATTTTTTCTCAATCCACAAAAATAAATGACTCCACACTGACAGTAGTAAATGGCATTCAAAAAAAGTGATTGATTGCAATTGAATTCTGAAACTTATGCATTATTTAAGTGGCTTTAACATCATAACCATAATGTTTAACAAGGCATCAATAGCAGAGCTGCTGTACTAATAAATTTATATCATGTATATCTGGACCTTTATCAACTGATCTCTGATGAACTGCTAGCTGACATGAACATGAACCAATCATGAGATGACTGTAACTGACTAAACCTCCACTTCGGTGACCAACAGTAACTTTGAAATATATGTTTAAAATTGTGGGTTTGTTACAATGACTTGCATCAATTTGTTCATTACCCATTTTTTTTCATGATTTCTTGATTATGAAGAAGCTTCTCTCTTTTTTTTTTTATTATTCCATGAAGGCTTGACAAAGTTATTCAAGTTTTAACCACAGATTGTACCTTAATGCTGACTGCTAAAAATAAAATCTATATAATTCCATGTATTAGTCAGGTACATTTGTATGAATAAAAACTAATGCTTTAACAAATGCAGATTCACAAACTTAGCCCCAGTTCATTGTTATGTATTAGCTGATGTAATAGTCTTCATGAAAAACTTTTTGACTTACAAGCTTGAAATAGGTTCTAGATTCTTTTCAAATTCATGTGTTTAAGTGTCACACAGTTCAGAAAACCTGTGGCTCTTTTCACAAAAATCTTACGACTAAAATTGATCCTAACTATAAGTTATTTATACTGAAATGACTTAATCACTATATGGGAGCGACACTGGATATTGGTACTAGATGTAGCAGTGAGAGCTTGAAAAATTTTGTAGTTTTTATGCATTTGTAATTATTGCATGTGTCTAAAGATTTGTGTAATGATATGTTGGGAAGTGATCTGTTCTCCAAATCATTTAGGAATGTTAGACATCAGTGTAAATTAAATTTGGACATAAAAAACTATAATCTAGTACGGAAAAAAGAGGCACCGATTGCTTCAGATCAAGAAATGAAGTGTCTAAAGATTTGATATTTCTTCCTATTGTTCAATTTTGACCCACTTGACTATAAATATTTTCAGAAATTGGTTTTAAAATGATGTAAATCACAAAGAAAAAGTTTCTATCATGTCTATAGTGTACGGCAACTTATGTATTGATATGTACCACAGCTTGCACTTTACAACAACTCATCGCTTCAGCTGGTACCAATATCCAGTGTCACTCCCATACTGTTAATTTATAGTAAGGATTTGTGTGTAATTAGTCGCTGGTAGGTCGCCTTATCATGAACTTTATTTGTCAGAACATGCTCAAAATTATGTTGAATTAACAAAAATGTTAATTTAAAATAAACACATACAAGTACCCCAATCAGAATTAACAACATTTGCCTTACTGTTACATGTATTACACATGTAACTTGTAAAGCAAAAATGTATGTTGTTGACTGTTGTCTTTGTCAACAAGGATGTAGATTGACATGATTGATTTAAAAAATAAGTAGAAATAAGCATGATCTTTTCTCTTCTCCTTTTTATAGACAGTTATAATTTGTATGTTAACTTAATAATTTTAGCAGATCTTCAACACTGGTGTACCTCTCTTACCTGACATTCTGAAATTTCGTAATAATATTGTTTACAATTCTCTCTTGTGAGCTTTGATCATCAGTTATGGTTGACTGATTTCTCACGATTCTTTGTAAAAGATAACAAAAAATATCAGTAAATCTGTATAAAAAGTACTTATACAAGTTTCTTGATTTGATATGTATTTTTATACAAATTATTTTGTTTAATTTTCCTAAATTTTTAATGTTTGGATAATAAATTTGTTGAATATTTTAAGATTTGTTATCAGGTAGCTTAACATTTAACGCCCTCTGTGGGGAATTTTTCTACAAACGGGAGACAATCCAAATGAGGTCAATCGCTATTGATTCCATAATGAAATGAAATTCAATAGTAAACGACTACATAGTTGGTAAAAAAACTTCAAATAATGTAACACAGTTTCCATTTGTATATAATATTCATATTTCATAACTGTTTAGTATTTGAGTACAATAGATTTCTCGAAAATAAACGCACTTTTGTCAAAAATGATATGGACGGTCGCCATTTTGAAGAGGTCACTGTGTCTAAACTACCCCGGCAAAAAATGTTTGGACTCGATAGTATCTAATGTCCGGTACGGTGACGGATAATCAACAGACAGAGAAAAGGTAGAATTTTTATTTATTTATTTGTTTTTTAATGACATTGAAGAATAAACATACACATATAACTATTTTCAATTGTGTGATGTAATATTTTCTACAACCGTTCTAGATTAATGGAGAAATAAGTAAAAAGGCACATGAAAATGGTGAATTGAGTGAACCTTGCTACGAATTTGTTTAATTTCTTTTTAAATTGTGCACATTGTACGGAAAGAAAAGCACGGAAAGAAAGATATTTACACAGAGATTGCATGGCTAGTCACTATGAGCACCTCAATATTTGCATGTCTGTGCATGAAACGGAAGAAATGGGTCATGTCAAAATGGAAGGACCCTGTTTCGTCAATGTTGTTTATTACACAAGGACCCTGTTTTGTCTCAGTATAGGACCCGGTTTTGTTTTGTTTTGAAACCACAAATTTATGAAAAGCTACGTTAGCACGGATCTGGACATTGCCCATCGGAAGAAATAAAATATTTGAGTCAAAAAGATGTTATAAAGATGTTATTGCAATACAAACATTTGTTAAAATATATTTCAAACGGGAACTTTTCGAAAAAGGGAGTAGACATTTTTGAATGCTATACGTATACCTTATTGATCTTATCTTCGAACTAAGTTTAAATGGAAATAAATACTTTATATCATGTACTTACATTAATTCCTTATGATAGAAAAAAGAAGATGTGGTGTGATTGCCAATGAGACAGCTCGTCACAAAAGATCAAATGACACAGAAATTAATAACTGTAAGTCGCCGTACGGCCTTCAACAATGAACAAAGCTCATACAACATACCGGTAGTCAGCTATAAAAGGCCCCGTAATGACAAGTGTAAAACAATTCAAACGAGGAAACTAACGGCCTAATTTATGTACAAATAAATGAACGAAAAACAAATATGTAACACAGCAACAAACGACAACCACTGAAATACAGGCTCCTGGCTTGGGAAAGGTAAATATATACAGAATGTGACGGGGTTAAACATCTGAGCGGGATCCCAACCCTCCCCTAACCTGGGAAATTGGTGTAACAGTACAACATAAGAACGAACTATAAAAATCAGTTGAAAAAGGCTTAAGTCATCAGATGGATACAAATAGAAATACATCTCAAAAATGTTTGTTTGTTTTCTATACTACTGTAATGATGTAAAAATAAGAAGATGTGGAATGATTGTGTTACCATATCATTTTATAATGCCTTCCTATGTTAAAATGAGCATTGAGCATGGCATGAAAGAATTATTTCTTTTTATAAATAAAAGTTGGTTTGCAACATTATAACGTCCAATATCTTCGTCTTCGTCTTCGTAGAACAACCTTATTGGCAATTTAGCCCGTTATAAATGACAATTAGACAGCTTTCCATCAGAGACCAAATGACGTAAAAGTTAACAAATATAGAGCACCGTATGGCATCCAACAATGAGAAACGCCCATACGGCATAGCAAGTTAAAAAAGGCCCCGAAATGAAAACTGTAAAAAAACTAATGTGAAAACTAACGACCTAGATTTATGTACAAAATAAAAAACGAAAAACAAAATGTATGATATACAGCTACAAAAGACAACAACCGATTTACAGGCTCCTAGATTCGGTACTGGCACATACAGAATGGCGGGGTTGAACGTGTAAGCCCCCCGCTCCCCCTCCAAAGAAAACCAAGAAAAAAACTGGTATAACAGCACAACATATGAACAAACTATAAAATTCAGTGAGTTGAAAAAGGCTTAACTCATTTGATTACAGAGCCCCTATAGTAAATATGCGATTGGTGGCTGTCTCTGTTTTTTCGTCTTTTATTAAATTTTATGATGGTATACGATATAGTTACATTATATCAGTGGCGGATCCAGGGGAGTAGAGGGAGTACGCCGACCCCCCCCCCCCCCCCCCCTTTTTTGTGGCTAGAAATAATTATTTTATCATGTTTTTTACGATTTATATATGATTTTTTTATTTAGCATAAAATCGTTAAAAAAAGTTCCCCTTGCTACGCTCGGCGGTATAAAATCCGTTTATGAAAACGCCCCTTTCAAAAATCATGGCCTCGGTCCGCCCTTGCATATTGACAATTTTAAACTTGACCAAATTGCTTAAATTGTAGAACATTTGTCAATGTACGATGATCATTATACAATGAAGAGATAAACCTATATATAATAGTTGTACTATATAGGGCAGCTGTTAACAACTTGATACTAGTGCATTAAAGAATTTGTTAATGTTAAAAGAAAAAAGAAAAAAAAAGAGAGATAAAACATCGTTTATTTATAAAAAATTACTAATCAAATAATCATTATTGCAATTTCCGGATGGCCTAAGACTTTTATACTAATTTATACTTAGTATTATTGTTAAAAGGAGGGGTAAACAGATTTTTAACGCACTATTATTGTGATCCTTTGCGCCGCATGGAAATTCCTTTTCTTGGGCGATTCTGCATGCACATACATTTGTCTTATTCTCTTGCTTTATAATGAACGTTTAGTTTCAGAATATTTATTTTCAAACTATTATACTGTCTTCCCTTTAAGTAGAGCGGAACACTAAGATAACCATCTTGTTGTCCCAGAAAATCACATATCAAATGTGCGTCCTTAAATTTTCAAAGCCGTACACTAATTAAGTTTGAACACTTAAATTTAAACAGATGATATAAAAAAAATCTAATTCCGTTTCAAAACCTTCATTTCTTTTTAATTTTTCCTTTTTTTTTTATACAAAACAAAATTGAAATTTGCTTTCTCTAATATAGCAGGAATTCAAGTGTTTACGGATTCAAAAAGGTTATAAGTTATCCTCTGAAAGAAAATGTTTTTCAACGATCCCTCAAACTGCTGTTGAACGCCATATTTTAATTTTCGTCATGCGATTATGCATTATTTTCTATGACAAAACCGGGTCTGCTTTGTGAAATTTAAGGACAAAACCGGGTCGTACACATTGACAAAACCGGGTGCTTCAATTTTGACATGACCCACTTCTTTCATTCCATGCACAGACATGCAAATATTGAGGCGATCATAATGAAAAGTCTTGACATCTCCGTGTTAATATCTTTCTTTCCGTACCTTTCTTTCCGTACAATGTGCTCCATTTAAAGAGAAATTAAACAAATTCGAGGCAGGGTTCACTCAATTCACCATTTTCATGTGCCTTTTTACTTATTTCTCCATAAATCTAGAACGGTGGTAGAAAATATTACATCACACTATCGAAAATAGTTATATGGGTATGTATATTCTTCAATATCATTAAAACAACATATAAATAAACAGAATTTCTATATTTCTCTGTCTGTTGATTGTCCGTCACCGTACCGGACATTAGATACTATTGAGTCCAAACATTTTTCGCCGGGGTAGTTTAGATACAGTGGAGGTTATCTTTTAAAACAACGGATTTTGTGTACATGTTCTTTGTAAATCAAACATCTTAACCTATTAGATAGGATTCCTTTGAATGATTAAATTTTTATTTCTAAAAAATTGTATATTTTTTTTACATTAAATTTTAAAAATGAAACAGAAATACTATTCAACAGATAAAGGAAGACCAAGGAACTGACTATTCATCTTTATTTTTATCAATGACACTTTTAAGAACAGGGAAAATAAAAAGAGTTACACATCTTGAATTTTTGACAGTTAGTTGGTTAATTTTATGAGTAAGAATGAGAACTTGTTTCAAGTTGAGATGCAACAAATGTTTACACAATATAAATGTACCTTGCCAATGTCAGTGACAGTATGTTACAAAAAATGTACAAGAGTGAAGACAAAAACAGATTTTGTTTGTGTGTTTCCAGAAACAAAACAAACGATGAGTAGGAAACCTCAATCAGATTATCTTTTTCTTTAACTTCTAATTTAAAACTGAACATGCTGAATATGTCAATTATTGAATATTGTCATGATCATGATGATTGTCAATGTGTCTATATGAAGATTTTGGAAAAAGACGACTGTCACATTCATATATTTTCCCATTTACATTTCCAATATAACAATGTTATTATTTCATAGTAAGCCGATTATTCAATGAGGTCATTTATATCAATAGACCTCTGGTCAACTAATGAAACTCATAAAGAAAAATCTTGAAATTGGTCTATGCAATTAATGTAAGGCCAAATCGCGATTTTGGAAATTTTTCAACTTCCTGAAAACAATGAGTCCGTACATGTTGAACATGTTGAAACGGTTGACTTCATGGATTGATTATTTCAAAGAAACAACAATGTTTCTGTGCAAACAAATTAGAGTATTTTCTTAACTTCTGGCACACTTTACTTCCAAATTGCTTGTGGCATATTGTTCTAGCTATTTTTGAATTTATTGCGTCCGTCATTGAAAAATTTATATGAAATCTGTATTCTTACGATAATAACTACAGACTCATGAATGGCACAGCTGAAAGATGATTAATGATCCCAAAGGGAAAAATACACAGCATGCAAATAATTAACATTTGTTTTGATCCCCTCAGAGTTACATGTATTAATATTACTGTAATTCAAATGCATTGTTTCAATTCATTGATTTAAGTTGCTTTTAAATTTGTTAAATTTATATATCTTTTAATGAGAAACAATGCATATCATAAACAGATTAGTTTGATATTTTAATAATTGATGAGTGAAAATTACTTTTCCTTTTATTTTTTTTTCTTTCAAAATGCAATAGTGCTAGATATTTTGTTGGTAGTCCTGACAGGAACTAGTGAAAATATAATTGTGTAACTATAAATGACAATTTAAGACATAAGCTATGACAACTGTTACTGTTATGTTAACTTCCCTTTTTTAAAAATCTCACCACTTTTCCTTGTCAGTTTATAAAGTTCAGAAGTCACTTCACCCTATGATACTGAAGTAGTGTGAGCCTTCCACCTTCTAGCGGCCTGCATATAATGAGAGGGAAATATACATTCCATTTGATTTTCATATTTCTATAACCATTCCAGAGCATCTGAGATCGCCATTGGTTTTTGTTGAGGTTCATATGTTGCTATCAAACCACCACACAAACCGTAGTTGTATGTCAAATTAACATATTCATGGCATGATACCACACTATTAGATATAAATGAATACACAGGTTTGCAAATATTAATGATGCAAATCAAAACTAATTATAAAGCAGAGATATATAGAACTCACTCAGTCACAGTCAAATCTATGTGTGGCCCCCACCAACCTCCCTCGAACATGTTGAATAAAAAAAGATAAAAATTTACCTACCGACCTACATGACCTACCCTATTTTAAAACTGATGACATCATGTAAAATAGAAAACACACATATTTTTTGGGGGGGCCTAATTAAATTTGTCAGACTAGTCTGATAATTATGCTGTTAAAGATAAATATTGGCAACTCACTTTTCTGAATGTCTGTTAAACCAAAAAATTGTGTAATTTTGTCATATTGGCAGTCCTTTGATGAATTTTGGGAAGCTTGACTAACTAAGCAAATCAGTTTTAAGTTAATCCTTTTGAACAAATTCTTTTATATCTGAGCCAAATGCCATTGGTCTAACAGTTCTGTCTGTCAAAATTTATGTTGGACTGCCAAAATAATTGTCTATATGAGTGTACTATTGTGGAGACCATAGGATTACATATATAGATGTCTTATGTTTTTTTTATTTTTGTGGTCGTATATTGGTATGACGTTGGCGGCGGCGTCGTCGTCGTCCGGCGTCGTCGTCGTCCGGCGTCGTCGTCCGAATACACATTAGTTTTCGCACTCTAACTTTAGTTTAAGTGAATGGATCTCAATGAAATTTTACCATAAGGTTCAATACCACAAAAGGAAGGTGGGGATTGATTTTGGGGGTTATGGTACTAACAGTTAAGGAATTAGGGGCCAAAAGGGGCCAAAAATAAGCATTTTTGTAACTTCCAGACATAACTTGTGTGTAAGTGTATGGATCTCTCTGACATTGTACCACAAGGTTCCATATCACAAAGGGAATGCTGGGATTGATTTTGGGGGTAATTGCCTCCAAATTTTAGGAATTGGGGGCCAAAAAGGGGCAAAAAACAAGCATTTTTCCAGTTTCATGACAATATCTTGTTTGTAAGTGTATGGATCTTTATGAAATTGTACTACAAGGTTCCATATCACAAAGGGAATACTGGGATTGATTTTTGGGGTAATTTCCTCCAAATTTTAGGAATTAGGGGCCAAAAAGGGGCAAAAAACAAGCATTTTTCTAGTTTCATGACAATAACTTGTTTGTAAGTGTATGGATCTTTATGAAATTGTACTACAAGGTTCCATATCACAAAGGGAAGGCTGGGATTGATTTTGGGGGTTTTCCCTCAAAATTTTAGTAATTAGGGGCCATAAAAGGGCAAAAAAAACATGCATTTTTCTAGTTTCAGGACAATAACTTGTGTGTAAGTGTATGGATCTTTATGAAATTGTACTGCAAGGTTCCATATCACAAAGGGAAAGCTGGAATTGAGTTTGGGGGTAATTGCCCTAAACGTTTAGGAATTTGGGGCCAAAAAGGGGCCAAAAAACAAGCATTTTTCTAGTTTCCAGACAATAACTTGTGTTCAAGTGTATGAATCTCTCTGAAATTGTACTGCAAGGTACCATACCACAAAGGGAAAGCTGGGATTGAGTTTGGGGGTGATGAATCATAAGGGGGTTCAAAAAATTGGGGGGGGATTTTTTTTTCCTTTGTTTTCTTTAACATTTTCCATTTTAAATTGGTTATTTCTGATTTATATATAAAAGCAAATAATAATGATATGGTTTGAATAGGCATACATGTGAACCTCCCGACGGGAGTACAATAATCCCGTTTTCAGGGGTCTCCTCCCGACCTCCCGTTGAAGAGGAAAAAATCCCGTGTATGAAATTTTTCATGAATGAAAAATTTCTCCCCAACATATCATCTCAGGCATCTGGTGTAACTGACATTACCTGAAGTTATATTTTACCTGTAAATCAATTAACATGCATAATTATATGGCTTCACTTGTCAGCTTGGGTGTCAAACATACAGGTAATCAACGATTTTTACCTCAGGCTAACTGCCGTTGTGTAACAAAAACTGTGTATTTATTGGGTTACTTCCCTTGATTTATCCTGTTTTAAGTTACTTTCCTTTTAATAATGAAAATTTTTAAAAGAATATAAATAAAATATAAATTGAACAAATAATCATAAAAGGATAGTTATTAAATGATTTTAAATGTCTTAGGACAAATAAAAAAATAATAATTTGAAAATTATTTGAGGATTCTAGACTTCCTTTCAAGGCTTAAATTGAAATTTATATAATAACTATGACCCTAATTTTACAGATAAAATGATTTTCTGAGTTTGCAAATAAAAACTATTTGCAAGAGAAAAAAATAAAAATAAAAACTATTTGCAGATAGCTAAACAAATGTTCTAGTTGCAATGATTGTTTTATAGAATATGAAGTAAAAAATTTAAAGAACATACTGGAAAAATACAATGTTAGATTGAACATGTAGAATATAAAGATGGAGAAACTTTATAAGTACAAGGGTACTATAAACATAATAAATTGGATGGAAAGTTGAAGAAAACACACTTTAAAAGACCATTTTTACAGCACACGGTTACATTTACAACAAAATTAATGTCGATTAAAAACCTGATCTGAGTCCTAATCTCCTGACCAAAATTTCCCAATCTCCTGATCTGAGTTTCACAGTCCATCACATGTATGAATAGGTAAATTGAAAATTTTTAAGTTCTTAGACCACTTTCATTCTGTGTCAGAAACTTATGCTGTGTCAAATATTTAATTACAATCCAAATTCAGTGCTGTATCAAGCTTGAATGTTGTGTCCATACTTGCCCTAACTGTTCAGGGTTCGACCTCTGCGGTCGTATCAAGCTGCGCCCCAGCGGAGCATTTTATTTTATGGTATTTTCAAGTCTCACAATCTCCACAAATTTCATCTAAAACTGACAGACAATTGGATAGAAAGACGGCAATGATTCTTCTTATCAAACAGATTTTTAGGGAAACATTTAGGACATACATGTAATCTGAACACAGTAAAATAAGCACAAAGTAGTAATGTTTCAAAGAATTTAGATTTTTTCTACATGATGAATTGTGAATTTAAAAGAAAAAGTTTGCCATTACTATCACTATCAGACTATATGTAAGGTATAATCACAATTGACAATGAGCGTGATAAGACCAATGTGTGGTTACTCTATCCGGCTGGAAATAAAATATGGTAGGTTTTTTTTTCATTGGATTGGCAAACCCATGCCAGATATAGCCTTATCAGGTTCCAGAATCAGATCTTGTAGTTACTATAACATTTCATTATTTCTCATCAGCAGCCTTTTGTTGAAGTTGTTTATCAGTCAGACTTGTTTTTACTCAGCATATAGTAATACTTGTTGGCAATTTTCAGCATTACGCTAGTGGTTGAATAATATTTATGAAAAATATTATTTACCAATTTTCAATTAAAAAAGTTAGGTTTGGCTTTGGAAAATTAAGGTCAGTTGGGGTAAAGTTTTTTTTTTTTGCCTGACAAGAAAACAATATCACAACATGTTTTGATGTCTGGCTGCAAATTAAAGTTTTTGTTTACTGGTGAGTAGGCAAAATTTATCCAAAGGAAGATCTGGCACATTTTAAGAAGCCTGTTCTCATCGACATGTATTCTTTTTGTATACCAATATCTTCCAAAGTTTATGCCAATTCTGTTTATTTGTATGCATTTTAAACATGTCTTCAACACTGAATGTATTGTTTCTTATATTATTTCTTTTTGTTTAAATTTTAGATCCAGATTTTATTAATGATAAGTTCCCAAAATGGATATCAACTGACATTGATGTGATAAATTTCTTCTTGTGACATTAAACTGAAGATTTGGATAAAATTTTAAAAATGGCAGGATCACGTCAGAATCCACATGGATTGAAGCAAATTGGATTAGACCAGATTTGGGATGATCTTAGAGGAGGAATCAAGCATGTATACAACAGACAGAGCATGGCTAGAAACAGATACATGGAACTATACACGTATCCTTTTACATTGTGTGTGTGACTTTGTGATTTGTCCAGGGTTACTTATATAAAGTATTTTCAGTTGAAACTGTTCAATCCCATCTATGTGTTCCACTGTAAATTAAATTGAGTTTTTATACGCCCGTTTACGGGACGTATTATGGTATACCGTTGTCCGTCTGTCTGTCCGTCCGTCCGTCTGTCCGTCCGTCCGTCTGTCCGTCGTCAACATGTCGGACATTAACTCAAAAATGCTTTAACCAATTTGCATAAAACTTTGGTGAATTGTTTATATCTATTGACGTGAGCTCCCTTTCGTTTTTTATAAAATTTAGATTTTACGTTTCCGAGTTATGGGGTTTTATTCATTAAAAAAAGGGGGATTTTCCAGTTTTTGGACAATAATTCAAGAATGCTTTCACCAACTTGCAAGAAATTGTGGTGAATTGTTTATATCTATTGACATGAGCTACCTTTCAATTTTTATAAATTTTAGATTTTACGTTTCCGAGTTGCAGGGTTTTATTCATGAAAAAAGGGGGGATTTTCCAGTTTTCGGTCAGAAACTCAAAAATGCTTTCAGCAATTCTAATGAAACTTTGGTGAATTGTTTGTATGTATTGATGTAAGCTCCCTTTAGAATTTTATAAATTTTACATTTTACATTTCTGAGTTATGGGGTTTTATTCATTTAAAAAAGGGGTGATTTTCCAGTTTTCGGACAATAACTCAAAAATGTTGTCACCAATTCTCATGAAACTTTGGTGAATTGTTTATATCTATTGATGTAAGCTCCTTTTTTATTTTCATAAATTTCTAATATGACATTGAGAATTAATTGAACTTTATTTGTTCATAGTCTGACAACAGATTTACTAAGTATTGCACAACAGCAAGAAATCTTTAATTGAATATAAATTCAATTCATATAACCAATTTCAAGATCTTTGACTACATTTATTCAGAAACCTATAATATGTCAAATATTTAATTACAATCCAAATTCGAACCTGAATCAAGCTTGAATATTGTGTCCATTTTTGTCCCAACTGTTCAGGGTTGGACCTCTGCGGGCGTATCTAGCTGCGCTCAGCGAAGCAGTTTATTAAATGTTAAGTGGATCCATGGAAAAAAGTAAAGTTTGACTCAGAATAAATTTTGTGTTGTAAGGAACTTCGTGCACGTGGTTCAATTGGATTTAATTAATACCAATGAACTTAGTTAGAAAAGCAAGGTTTAAACTTAAATGAAAAATTCTCTGAACTTTTTGTATTGCATTAACCCTTTAGCCGATGAGTCCCGGTTTACCGGGATTCACGCTTCAGACAGCTGACGATGAGTCCCGTTTTACCGGGATCGGAATACCTCTTTTATATTTCCCGCTCAGAATAGTGCAAACACGAGTTATCTTTCATTGTTGAATACCCGGATGAAAGTGTAAACATGGCGCTTCCGTTTGTTGAAAACCGTGTCAAAATCAGAGGAAATTTACGGAATTTACGAGAATTTAAAATGAGGTAACATTTTTTTTGAAAGAATATGGAAGAATTGAAGCCAAACTAGTATACTTTTTTGACATAAAATGTCGTTTTATGTACAAAACACTTGGAATGGACATCGTTCAGTGTAAGGAATTTGTACAGCCTCATTAAATTTTTCAAAATTTTGCTGTTTTGGGTTAAAAAATTACGATTTTGGGTCAAAAAGTAGAATTTTGAGAATTTCACCTAGATAATGCCGAAAATTTGAAAATTTGAATATTTTATGAAGAAAAAATTATCAAAACATGAACAAAACTGTGCACATGGTGTTAGTGAATGAAATAAAGACACAAAATACTACAGACAAGTTTTTATTGACATTTATTATGAAGATCTCCCACTTGAGTAATAGTAGCCAGGGAAGCCATCGTCTCAGAGTAGCTTCTGTCTGGGCAGCTATCGGTGAAAGGGTTAATACTTTTGAAAATATGAGTCCAACATGAAACATATAATTTTTTTATTTGAATTTTACTTTTAACATGAACATGGTAAACTAAATGTCTATACATGTAAACTTGTCATTACAAAAATATTGCTTCCTTAATGTTTACTAAGACATGTTTACAATTACTGCACAAGTGTTCATCAATCTGGACAAGCTGGTCAACAGTCCTCTTCAAGGGCTCAAGGTGGGCGTCGCCCAAAACCACCCACAGGAGGAGCCCAGTTTGTTGGATTTGAACTGTATAAAAGACTAAAAGATTTTCTTAAATCCTACCTGGTCACAGTGTTGAGGGTATGTTATACATGTTATACATGTACTTTGTTTTGCTTGAAATCAGGCTAATCAAGTTGATTTATATTGAATATTATTCCACTGTATGTAAATATTGATAGCGAAATCAACATTTGATTGGTTAAGACGAACTTGTGTGACATTGAACAAAACTTCATATTCCCCTCTGAAATGTCGGGACAACCTCATGCAGCATTATGCAGTGTTAATGTACACAACGTTTTGAACGTATTTTAAAATAGCAATAGTATAGTCATTATTGTGTTCAAAACTATTTCAGATGTGAAAACAAAATAGAAAAAAAATTGAATTTTTCATGGAACAAATGATTAGCTTTTGACTGGTATTACTTATCAATGTTTATGTCATGTTTAGTTATAAAAGTGAATATGAAACATTGTATTGAAATTAATATTTTATGTTCATGAAGTTATAAAAAGTAAAACTGATATAAAACATTCATTTCCCTTGGCTTAGGGAGATATGAAATTTCTTCACCCTCAAAAAGTCATATTTCCCTGGACGATGCCTTCTGGAAACATGATTTTCTTGGGTGAACAAATCTTCATATTTACATGTATCTCAGGCACGGGAAATAAATATATATTATTCAATAATAATTTTTTGTTATAAAAAGTTCTAGACAATTTTTCCTGCCAATACAACAAATGCGTACAGAGAAAAATCTACCGTTGATTATTTTCTTGAAATTTGAACATAACATTCTTCTTGAAACAGTGCATAGTTGATTGCAAAAGAATAAAATGGGGTCCATGTGCTCATTTTTAGCTCACCTGGCCCAAATGGCCAAGTGAGCTTTTCTAATCACTTGACATCTGTCGTCGTCTGTTAACTTTTACAAAAATCTCCTCCTCTGAATCTTCTGGACCAAATTAAACGAAACTTGGCCACAATCATCATTGGGGTATCTAGTTTAAAAAATGTGTTTGATGACCTCGCCTGCCAACCAAGATGGCAGACGTGGCTAAAAATAAAACATAGGAGTAAAATGCAAGTTTTGTCTGTTATTTTGATAACCATTATAAATAGAGAAAATCTGACAAGGGCAAAAATGTTTAGAATGCTGAGCTCTTAGTTTGCCAATTGGTCATTGACTTTAAAACTGTCAGGCAACTTCTTACAGGATATAGTTAGTAGGCTGTCACTCTTCATAGGACTGATTGTTCTTAAATGAGGATTTTTTTTACCCTCTTTTGTGTTTTGAGCAAAAACTAAAGAAGATAGAGAGAAACTAAACAGACTAAATGATCAGCTATACAAGATCAACAAGATAGAGATTTTTGTCATGAATTCTATTCTTGTCTGTAATGTTTGAGAGAGTCCATTGTTGAATATGCACATAGACCTATGTGAGCGACACAGGCTCTTTAGAGCCTCTAGTGTAGTTATAAATAGAAAACCTAGGTTTTCATATGCTGATGATCCCATTTTCCTTTTTGGCGCTAAATTAGGCCATAGTGTATTCTTAATTTGACATTGTCATGCAGTAATTCCCACTGTACATCAAAACAGTATATGAATTACTGTTATATACAAATTTATTGATGAAAGAAAAGTAAAGTCTTCATTTGCCTTGAATTTTATGCCCCACAGTAGATTTTGAATGCTTAAATATACCTCATCTTTGTTTTCCTTTGCAAATGATTTAAATCAATCATAACCGATTTGAAGACGTTAGTGATATTTCCTCAAATTTCAGATGCGAAACAAAAGTAATGATGCGAAAACAGGGTGTTTAATTGGACACATTATTATTGCTGCTGTATCATATGCCCTTTAAGCAGGGTTATCATTAGTGAGCAATTCTACTTTGTTAATGTTGCACTCCTTGACAAATTCAACATTGTTCAAACAAAAGGGGGGAATATTATTAACATTATACATTTGGCTTATATACATGTATCAGTTTTATTCATTGTTATTGGTAAAGTTCTGTATGGTTGCTAGATTTTATCATTTATTCCCCATCACTTTTTAAAAACATTTTCTTCAACAGGACGGACAAGATTTTCTTGATGAACAGGTATTATCATTCTATACCAAACAATGGGAGGATTATCAGTTTTCCAGTAAGGTATTAAATGGAGTGTGTGCCTATCTGAACAGACACTGGGTCAGAAGAGAATGTGATGAAGGAACTAAAGGCATTTATGAAATTTATTCTGTAAGTACAAACAGAAGAATAAATAATAGGTTATTAATGTGTTCATGTTGAAAATACTAAGAATAAAACTCCAGAAAGAGTGCAAATCCTGGAAATCTCAAAACACCTGGTTGTAAGATTCATGAACTCTGACCAAGCTTATCTGAGTCAGAGATGACTGAAAAATTTTATCAAGGGGATTTCCAAGTTTATTCCTTGTGGTATTTGATTCTTAGTAACAACAACATGGTGTGAAATGGTGAGCTTCAAAGAGTGTAAGAATATTAATCCTGTCCACCTATCCACATGGCAGTTTATTTGGCTGCTGCCACCTTATACTAAATCCATCTAGTTATTTCTGTAAAACGATAACATTACAGCTTACAAGATACAGCCAATTATAATCTTATGTTGTTAATAGGATCTTAAAAAAAAAGCAACAACATAAGATCTGTAATGACCAGACAACTTTGCCACCTCAATCAGTTTTGATAAACTTACAAAGATAAAAAGATGTGGTATAATTGCCAATGAGACAACTCTCCACCAGTGACCAAATGACATAGAAATTAACAACTATAGGTCACCATACTATTATTAGTATTGCTGGTGACAAACTAAATTTTGTGAGGGCCAGTTAGTCTTGACAGGCAAAAACAGGTATAGCTATGTGGGAGATTGTTTCCCTTTCAATTTGGACAAATGCATTTTAAGATTTATGTCAAATACAGCATTGATATCATTTTAGCCTGATTTTGTAAGTTAATGGGTTGTAGTAAGGGTTGAAGTAGCTGTTTATATCAAGGAATAGGGAGAAAACAAAACAAAATTCAGATAACTGCTTTACACACTCTTTTTTTCAGCTTGCATTAATTATATGGAGAGACAACTTATTCAAACCACTGAATAAGCAAGTAACAAATGCTGTGCTTAAACTGATAGAAAAGGAGAGATATGGTGAAACCATTAACACTAGACTTGTCAGTGGTGTAATTAATTGTTATGGTGAGTAAATATGGTGAAACCCTTAGGCCACACCAATTTGATTAATAGTTCTTTGGATTTTCCCGCTCCTGTTTTGGAGAAATTGACTTTTCAATAAAAAAAAAAAATTACTGCTTCTGCAAATTTTTGGGCCGCATGCCGCTCCAAATTATTTTATCCTTGACATTTTTTTTTTTTCTCGTAGACCTTTTCTTGTGCACATATTGCTCCAACCGATTCAAACGCACGTCTGGTAAATCGATTTGTAAATAAAAGGTCAAAAATCGGGATGCCAACATGAAGTTGTGTCAGTTCATTGCCGAGGACAAGTACCAGTAGTTATTAAACACACAGTTATTTGAAATGCATTTCGTTTTATTTATGAAGACCTGTTCTAGGAGACAAAATAAAAAATCTTTCGTTAGATGACCACGATCACATTTGTACTCGTTAGATCCATTGTCATCCCCGATCATTGTTTCAGCTGTTCAACAGACATAGTCCGAGATTACTCTAACGTCCAACGGCTGCTTTGCCAGACAAGATATGGTGTTGTCCTGCGGTCCCAGCTTGTCAGTCGTTGGATGTCAGAGTAATCTGGAACTACAAAAGACATAGATAGGGCTATCTGTCTTGGATGAAATCAATATTTAATTCACATGATTTAAAAAAAAGACAGATTAATCTTATTTTGATGAAAACTCCATATCCCCTTGTTAGTCTATTGACATGCATCAGAACTCTTTTGTTAGGGAAAATTTAAGAGTTCCAATGTTCAAGACCAAAATGGTACTGGGATTGACATGCTAATAATAATGGTATCGGGTCCATTCGCCCTAATAACATGTTCGCCGTGGGTCCGTTCGCCCTAATAACATGTTCGCCGTGGGTCCGTTCGCCCTGAGTTCGTTCACCCATAGAGTCCGTTCGCCCTACTAAAATATTAATATGCAGGGCATTGAAGTTGAATAAACTTATTCAGATATTTCTATGGTATATATTCTTGAAATTTATGGAAACATGGAAATATTCAAAAGTTTATGGCTTGTTTAGGATCATTAATTGTTCAATGACAAAATAATTCGGATCACTGATTATTGTGACACTTGTCTTTTGATGGATTATTAATAAAAACAAACGTTTTGTTTTGATAAAATATTCAGCTTGAGATTAATAAAAACAATGATGTACGGACTGTAAATCATGAAACGGATTTACAATTTTATTTATACTCTGAGACTAGTCTCAGTTATACTGCATACAATTATTTTGTTAACAAATATCCATAAAGATAAATACATTGTATTCCAGTATTCTACTCTGCAAATCAAAGGGAAAATGATAAATTGATTGCGGCAATATAAATATTCTGTCAATTTTTCAACAAACTTTAACATATTTTGTTCAAATAATTAAAATTATGCGACTAGACAACAATTAGAAAAAAATAAAAATCAGGGCGAATGGACCCTGGGCGAACAGGTACTAGGGCGAACGGACCCGGATTCAATAATAATTAGGGATGTATTATTGGTGCAATCACTTCCAGTTTGAAATACCTTGCAGGTTTCACGGGCAAAAGGAAAATGTATTTTGCCAAGTCATAATAATGCATATGCATATGGTTGAAGGACTTGAGGTATTTTAAGGGAATGTTTCATTACACTGAGATCTACATGCATAGCAATATAACTATTACTCAGGATGTTGTTGAAATATTATTCACCTCACTCATTATGTTGATCATAATATGGATAACTAGTTCCAACTAGATGTCAAGCAGACAAGAAGCAATCATTACCATATAATGAAAACAACGATATTTAAGATATTTAATATTTTTCAAGGCTTTTTTTTTTAATATACACATATTTTAATTGTATTCCACACAATAAATTGACCTAACCTATATAATACCTCTTGCTAAACTTCATTCGCTATGCTTCCTTAATACATGTATATACACATGTATGAATCTAAATGAAAATTCACACAGTCAAAGCTTATTTGACGAAAATTATACTAAATCAAAGCGAACCAGAAAGTTTAGTATGGTATAGACTGTACTACAGGCACACATACATCTAATTATATGCATAAGATCATGTTTCTCCTCTTTTTTCCTTGAAGTAACCCAGTTTTAACATGAACATAAAATTCTAAATTGCGCAATTTAAAAAAAAAATTATACCGCTCGCTCCACTTGTAGAGCACCCGCCTCATCAAAACTCAATTTCAAGAAATATATACAATCAAAAAAATTTCGCTCGCCCCATATTTTTTGGAGCTTTTGTCCGAAGAACTATAAATCAAATTGGTGTGGCCTTGACACTAGCTATAGACTTGTCAGTGGTGTAATGAATTGTTATGGTGATTAAATATGGTGAAACCCTTAACACTAGACTTGTCAGTGGTGTAATTGATTGTTGTGGTAAGTAAATATGGTGAAACCATTAACACTAGACTTGTCAGTGGTGTAATTGTTATTGTTAAAAAAGTATATACACACAAAAAAATGTTAAAAAAATAATTTTAGTTTTCTATTTTTGTAAACATCTGATATTTTTGCGTAAATAGATTTTGTTGTTGATTTTTACCCATTTTTATGCCCCAGCCGTGAGGAAGGGGCATTAAATTTTACCCTTGTCTGTCTGTCATCTGTACGTCCCAAAATTAGTTTTTATTCTCTAACTTAAGTTTGCTTCAACCAACTGTTATGAAACAATGCTTATAAACACCAAACACAGATCAAATGTAAATTTGGGTGTTGTCACTTTCACTTAAATGGAAAAATTGGCAAATATGGCGTTTCCGCACTCCAGCTTTATTTTGCTTTGACCAAATGTTATGAAAACTTCCACACAATGATTATAACCACCAAACAAGTTAGAATTTGGGGCCGTTCTTAATTTTGCCTTATATTTACAAGTGGGGGCATCTGTGTCTAATGGACACATTCTCCATTAATTTCGGTGCATATTATTCTGTAAAAGATAAAAGATGAATGTTAACAGCAAATAAAGGATCAGACAAGATCAACAATGTTAAAGTTTGTGATTAGGTCAGTTTTTTTGGGGAACCACTGGTGGAAGGTCAATGATATTTAGAATACTGTTTTATAAGTATTTGAATGTCTCATTCCATTGAGATTATAAGGCCCGCCTCTTCAGTCATGTCTTTTGACTTTGAAAATTTTGCATACTTTACATACTAAATTTGATGTTTTGGTAAGTTCACAGAGAACCACTAATAGTAAGTCAGTGGTAATTAGTATGCATTGGTATTAGCATTGGCATTTCTCATTTCCACTAAGATCTTTTGGCCCTGCACTGTACCTTTAGTCATGGTTCATTGACTTTGAATGTTTTGCCCTGTTTATATGATAAAGTATTGCCATTTTCATTTCAATATTTTCTTTACACTATCAAAGTTACATAAAGGTGTAACATCACTATATCTAGGATTTTTATTATATTAATTCTCCCCATACATACAGTTGTGCCCCTTTGAACTTCATAATAAAATACACTTCAAAATAAGTGAAAAATACTACATTTTCTCACCATGACATTTCTTATTCATTAATAAGAAAGGCAATATATATATATATATTATCTCAAAACCCCAATTCAAAGCCCCTTATAGATTATTCCTTGGAATATCATGTTTACAAATGATCTACATTTTAGTCAATCTTTGCTTGATTGGAGATGACCTATCAGTAAAAAGGTCATATATTGAGTGTTTTAACAAATACATTGAGGATATGTTTCTTTTAATGGCCAAATATCCTATATTCTGGAATCCCCATTTAAGGCCCTCTATGAATTATGGGTTAAAATAGGACGTCAACAAATTTTGTCAATTTTAGTTGAGCTTGGCTTGAATGAAGATGACCCATCTACTAAAGGTCCAACATTAAGTGTTTATAAAGATCACTTTGAGAATCCATTCTTGGATGATACAGAACAGTTTTATACAAGAGAAAGTACAGAGTTCCTCAGACAGAATCCTGTAACAGAATATATGAAAAAGGTACAGTAATTGACACAACTTACTGGTTGAATATAGGAGATAGCGTAAAAGTGTGAAGTTAAAATTCATTTAGAATGATCTTTGTTATTACAAATTATAAAAGTCATCTTAACATGCAGAACTCTTGCATGTCTTGATTGATTATCTGTATTGGGGAAAAAGCTTTCGGTAGAAAAAATCCCTGAATATAACTAACATCAAATTAGATAAAAATCTGTCTAATGATCCTCTCCTTAAATTTGATTCTGGGTGAACCTTGTATAAGATTGAGTTATCCAAATGCAAAGTTGCATAATGTGGAAGACAAAAATATATATATATTAAAAAAAATCAAAATAAGGAGATGTGGTATCCTTATTTTGACTATGAATGCCAATTAGACAATTTTCCACCATAGAAAAAAAAACAATGTAAACAATTACATATCACTGTACTGCATTCAGCAAAACCCATATCATAAAGTAAGCTATAACTGTCCCTTGAATAGCAGAAAGTGAAACAACTGAAAAGGGACAACTTACGGCTTGGTTTGAGGTTAAAGCCTTAAAACAAACAAACAAAAAATTACGACAAGACAGCAACCAAAAACCACTGGAGTACAGGCTGCTTATATGTTTTAATTTGATGAACATTTTTCCTGCTATTTACACACCAATTTGTAACAGTTATATTATGGTATACTGTTATCATCTTGTCATCTTTACAAAATTTGTACACAATATTTGATTCCATGAGGACAAACTCATTGACCATTTTGACCAATTGACAATATTTTATGTGTCTTTCACAGTGTCATGTTTTCATTTTGAATACATATTCCAACGAAAGTTCTTAACCATTTCATAACCAGTAAGAGCAACCTCCCTTTCACTTTTTAGCTATTTTAGATTTGTTGTTCTTGAGTTGTGGAACTTCACTGGTGGAAATGTGGGGGACAAGTGTATCATGCTCTTATGATTTAGCTATTTTTTTCAGTGTTTGTCATAATATATACCTCAAAGTTGGCAGGTGCCTTTAATATTTAGAATTGTGTATTATAGGCTGAAGCCAGACTAATGGAAGAACACAAGAGGGTACAGTTGTATTTACATGAAAGTACACAGGATGTTCTAGCCAGAAAGTGTGAGAAAGTTCTCATAGAGAAACATCTGGAAATATTCCACTGTGAATTTCAGAATCTCTTACATGATGATAAAAATGATGGTTAGTATTAGAGAATAAGAAAACATTTTGAAGAAATAAGAGGGTTTGCTCCAAAATATTTCTCGGAAGTGTCAGATGAAATTTGACCCTTACTCTAGACGTGTCAGCTGAAATTTGACCCTTACTCTAGAAGTGTCAGCTGAAATTTGACCCTTACTCTAGAAGTGGAGCTATATTGCAATCACCTTGTCTGTCTGTTCAGCCAACAAATATTTTTGTCACACTTTTCTCAGAAACCACTAAACAGGGTAAATTCATATTTGGTCAGCAGCTTGATAGGCGTGAGTTGTAATGTGTGAGCACTTTTCCAGTCTATAAGATACATACTTAAGTTTGCTGGTAATTCAATTTTTATGCCCCCGCCATAGCAGAGGGGGCATTAAGTTTTACCCTTGTCCGTCTGTACGTCGGTCCGTCCGTCTGTCCGTACGTCCCAAAATTGGTTTCCGTTCTCTAACTTAAGTTTGTCTCAACCAAATGTTATGAAACTTATACACAATGCTTATCACCACAAAAGACAGATCAAGTTTGAATTTTAGTGGCGTCGCTTTTACCGTTCTAGAGTTATGCCCCTTTACAAATAGAAAAATGGCTGAATTTTTCGTTTCTGTTCTTAACTTTAGTTTGCCTCACCCAAATGGTATGAAACTTATACACAATGCTTATTACAACAAAACACAGATCAAGATTGAATTTGGTGGCGACACCCCTTTACAAATGGAAAGTGGCTGAATTTTTCGTTTCTGTTCTCTAATTAAAGTTTGTCTCAACCAAATCTTATGAAACTTATACACAATGGTTATTACCAGAAAACTCAGATTTAGTACAAATTTTGGTAGCGTCACTTTTACTGTTCTTGAGTTATGTCCCTTTATAACTTTATATGCAAGCAGGGGCATCATCTGTGTCCCATGGACACATTCCCTATTTATTTTAATATGTTAAATGAACTTAATAACTTGAATGTTAGTTGTTTTTATGTGCTTTGTGTCGATCTTGTAAATGAAGCTTTTTCCAACTAACTTTTACACTTTTCCATTTGTCTGTCTGTCTGTCTTTAACTCCCATCTAAATTACCTCCTGAATTAATGAATAGATTTTACAAAACTCTCCTAAAATGTTCAGTTTACAGTGTAGATATGCATCTATTTAATTTATTTTCCTCATGTTGATTTGTATTGTGTTTTCTGTAGCAAAAAATACCAGTTGTCATATCACAAAGAATTTACATGTAGAAGCACAAAAGTTTTTCTTTCTTTGTGGATTACAATGACTGAATTTAATTTATACTGTACACATTTTCTTTTAGATTTAGGAAGAATGTACCAGTTGGTATCTAGGATACAGGATGGTCTGGGAGAATTGAAGAATTTGTTAGAAACACATATATATAACCAAGGAATGGAAGCTATAGATAAATGTGGAGAGGCTGGTCTGAATGTAAGTGCATTTCCTTTAAAGGAGTAAGTTCACGAAGGGGTAAAATCATTTTTATGATTTTGATGTATTTTAATCAGACCAAAATACTACAAATTTCACATAGTTGTGCTATAACTATAAATACAAAATATCTTTTTTTTTTGGCACATCATATTAAAAATGACGAAGAATTGACCCCTCAAGTATGCATTATTTTTGTTGTAACGTTAGTTTTGGTCAAATTTTCAATAATGTTGAACAATTTTTATACGACCGCAAAAAAATGTTTGTGGTCGTATATTGGTATGACGTTGGCGTAGTCATCGTCGTCCGAAGACACATTAGTTTTCGCACTCTAACTTTAGTTTAAGTGAATGGATCTCAATGAAATTTTACCATAAGGTTCAATACCACAATAGGAAGGTGTGGATTGATTTTGGGGGTTATGGTACCAACAGTTAAGGAATAAGGGGCCAAAAAGGGGCCAAAAATTAGCATTTTTGTAACTTCCAGACATAACTTGTGTGTAAGTGTATGGATCTCTCTGATATTGTACCACAAGGTTCCATATCACAAAGGGAATGCTGGGATTGATTTTGGGGGTAATTGCCTCCAAATTTTAGGAATTAGGGGCCAAAAACGGATCTCTCTGATATTGTACCACAAGGTTCCATATCACAAAGGGAATGCTGGAATTGAGTTTGGGGGTAATTGCCCAAAAATTTTAGGAAAAAGGGGCCAGAAATAAGCATTTTTCTAGTTTCCAGACAATAACTTGTGTGTAAGTATATGGATCTCTCTGAAATTGTACTGCAAGGTACCATACCACAAAGGGAATGCTGGGATTGATTTTGGGGGTAATTCCCTTAAAATTTTAGTAATTAGGGGCCATAAAAGGGCAAAAAAACAAGCATTTTTCTAGTTTCAGGACAATAACTTGTGTGTAAGTGTATGGATCTTTATGAAATTGTACTGCAAGGTTCCATATCACAAAGGGAAAGCTGGGTTTGAGTTTGGGGGTAATTGCCCTAAACGTTTAGGAATTTGGGGCCAAAAAGGGGCCAAAAAACAAGCATTTTTCTAGTTTCCAGACAATAACTTGTGTTCAAGTGTATGGATCTCTCTGATATTGTACTGCAAGGTACCATACCAAAAAGGGAAGGCTGGGATTGAGTTTTGGGGTGATGAATCATAAGGGGGTTCAAAAAATTGGGGGGGGGGGATTTTTTTTTCCTTTTTTTTTCTTTAAAATTTTCCATTTTAAATTGGTTATTTCTGATTTATATATAAAAGCAAATAATAATGATATGGTTTGAATAGGTAAATTAAAATTTTTTAAGTTCTTAGACCACTTTCATTCTGTGTCAGAAACCTATGCTGTGTCAAATATTTAATTACAATCCAAATTCAGTGCTGTATCAAGCTTGAATGTTGTGTCCATACTTGCCCCAACTGTTCAGGGTTCGACCTCTGCGGTCGTATCAAGCTGCGCCCCAGCGGAGCATTTTATTAACATATAAATTTACTTTGGCCACCACCACTAATCCAGAAAGTTTTTGTGTCTAGAGATTCAATATCATCATTGGCAACTTTTTGCTACAGAACATTTTGGATCCTAGGTGTAGGCCAAGGATTTCCTCAAGTTTAGGTCCGAAAAACAATATATTCAAAATGTGCTGAATTTGAAGCCTAGAATGTACTCTATTGAAGAGATTTGTTTGACCTAGTGATAACGCTTTTAAATGGACCCATTTAAGAAATAATTTATGGCCATTTTGAAATTTAATGATAAAGTTGAAATTCAAGGCCATATTTGGCCTAAAGTGAACTTTGTCCTTTGATCTTCACTGCATTCTACTCCTGTGGATTTTTCTCTTTTTACCTGTCCACAATGGGCATTGATTCACATCGACCTAGTTGTTGTTATCTCTTATTATGTAATTGTTTTGAATACAAAATTAGATCCTAAGAGAATAAACATTAACATGATTTGAAATGTTCAATGTGACAAAATATTTTTGTTTTTCAATTTTGGTTAATATGAAATATATGAGGGCTGATGCCTAAATTTAAAAGTGTTGTGTAACTGTAAAACATGTAAACAGACCTTTAATTCTATGTTTTGGCGAAATAAAAAGATGTAAATAATTCCAATGGAGACACCAGGCCAAAATAAAAAATAGGTTTGTTTCCCCATGCCCTGACCAACTGGATAAAAGGCTTCAGACTCCCAAAAAATTTTGGGTCCTTTCTAAAAAAAAAAAAATTTCATCTAACCGAACTCTGAATAGCGATCCAGATTCAACTTCTTATTTAATGTGTCTCTGCGTCCAATTAGAACTTCTAAGCCATTTCTGCTACACAAAAATCGAAAAAGGCTGAGAAGTTCCGATTGATCTGTATCAATGACAGACAAAATGACCTCTCTTTGCGTGTAAGGATAAAATAATTTTATTGAAGTTCTTTGTGAAAATTGATTTTTTTTTCTTTGTGTAAAAAGATAATAAACATGTTACACACTCCCCAAGGGTTTACATTGACAGTTGATTGTATTTATATACATTGTATCACATGGTTGTACAAGGTGAACATCCCATGACTAAATTTCTTCAAGTTGAAAATTAAAAAAAATTATGCAAACTATATTTAGTTATATACTTACTTTACATCCATCTATGATTTTTTTTTTTTTTTTTGGAGGAGGGTGGATTTTATTATATTAAATTGTCATTTTACATTATAATGAATTTACTAATCTGAACAGTCTTGTTTGAAACGGCTTTAAAACCACTAAAAGACCAATTATGCAAGATTCCCCTTTCAAATTTGATATATGGCAACAACTTAGAGGGCACAAAATTGGCAACAAATCAGGGACAATTTGAATACATGGAGTGATGAAATCTAATGCTACGCGTCATCTGTAATTTGTTTACCTTTCTCTTCCAGTCTTTATTTTCATTCTGTGATGAACCCTGTTACTTTAACACAAAAACTGCATAATTATACAGTCAGAAATGAGAATGTTTTGTATGCAATACAGTGATTATCAAAATGTACAAAGCTGCTTATCAATAACAGGGTAGAATTCACAGTAAAGATGAACACAAAGCTTGATGAATAGCATCAACACATCTACCCTGAGAGTAGTTGCCAATTTTTCACACATTATGTTTTCTATATGTCTTGACGAATACATTTTCAGATAAAAAACAAAACACCTACCTACCTACCCACCAGCAAAAATCTGGGTAGTGGTGTGGGGAAACAAAGATTAATTGCGGCCCAACAAAATATAAATACTAACAGTTACATTAATAAACCAACTACAAAATGAGACTTTTATAACATGCTTTCCGATAGGCCAAAAATTGTGATAGGATCATGAATAGCTTTTCCATGTCTTATTATTGTCTTATTTTTACAGGACCCTAAAATATATGTACAGACAATTTTAGATGTTCATAAGAAATATCATGCCTTAGTGTTGACGGCATTTAGTAATGACTCAGGGTTTGTGGCAGCCTTAGATAAGGTAAGTTATAGATCATATAGACCATTAGACACTATCAAGACATCTTGTGTAGGAATTAGAAAAAATTGAAGAGCAGTTCATTTTTATAACATCTGTACCATTGGGTCATTGTTGAATTGAAAATCATCCATATGAGATTACCGTAGAAACTCGCCTAATAGTCGATCCTACTATAAGTCGGGGGCCCTTTTCAGCTCCAAATTCTCAGGATTTAGTCTTGACCCTCGTATAAGTCGGACAAAATTTGTGCATTTTTTTTTCAGCTGACAGTAACTGAACGCCGGTAAAACCAATGCAAATCCAGGAATAATATTCATTTCTGCATTAATGTTTGTTTGGTTTGAATTTAGTTGATGCTCATCATGATAATTTATATTGCTGTTAATAATAAAGATGTATTCATTTCTCTTGTTTTGTTCACTGTTCAAATGTTAGATTAGCCATGTGTTGTTTACGTAATGCATCAATGATTTTGTAGGGTATGACTAACAACCTATTGTTTGAGAAAAGCGAATATAAACTAATATGAACCTGAAAAATTTAAAGTCAATCAACACTTTTTTCACAGCATACATAACTCGGTGTTAAATGAGCATGTACACTTCATAATTCTTATTATATTGTGATGATTAATCGATTAAAAAAATTAAGTGAAGCTAATCAAGGACGTATATACGTCCTTGAGCTAATCAATATATTAAAATAACTAACTTCAACTCATTAGTGTCATCTGTTTACCTATCACTGATAGTTTTCACACCTTTAGTAAATACAACTCTTTGTCTCTTAATTGGGGTTATCAATGGATTATATTGGCTTGTCAATCAATTTTGTAATTTTTGTTTACCTGAGACACTTTAATGAATAATATTTTGATTTTGGGAATGAATCTTAAAATTATTTTTTGATTATTATATGATTTATAAGCATTGAATTGATATCATGATATCACAATAATGACACAATAACTCTGCTGAAAACATCCTTTCACATATTTGGTACATTGTTATCTCCTTTTCATTTTTGGTTCTTGGCTCTTCTTTTGGGTTTATAGGAAAACCATGTGACCATGAAAATCAATACACAAACCGGAAACAGTAGAATTTCAACACGAATTTGCAGAAAATGTTTACCAAAGAACAAATAAAACACAAAGACAGTATTGTAGTCATTTATTTTCAACAAAAACTTTTTATTTATTGATTTATGTAGGTTTGGCAATCAAAAACGTAGTTTTGACCAGGAAATTCACTCCTGACCACTTTTCTCAAGCTTGGATTTTTCCTCTGGTCGCTAGATCTCGTCTATTAGTCGGTCCCCCTCTCTGGATTATGAATTTTACTCCCAATTTTCCGACTAATAAGCGAGTAGGAACGGTAGGGATATTCCATTATAATGGATGTGGGTGGGTAGGAATGGAAGTTTAATTTTTGGATAGGTGTCATAGGTCATTTATGGTTGTTTGTCTATTTGATGTATGCAAAATTCTCATAAAAAAGCTTCTTGTGGAGGGATTTTGGAACTGCAATGGAAAAGTTTCAATGAACTTGCTGTATAAATATAAAAATAAGGAGATGTGGTATGATTGCCAATGAGACAACTATCCACCAGAGTTCAAATGAAGTGGATGTAAGCAATTATAGGTAACCATACAGCCTTTAACAATGAGAAAAACCTAAATCATATAGTCTGCTATAAATGTTCCCAACATGAAAAATGTGAAACAAATTCAAACAAGAAAACTGATGACCAAATTTATAACAAAACAATTTATGAAAAACAAATATGACAGACATGAACTAACGACAATTACTGAACTACAGGCTCCTGACTTCGGGACAGGCACATAAAGAATGTGGCGGGGTTAAACATGTTTTTGAGGGATCAACCCTCCCCTAATCTGGGGTAAAGCTTTGTAATATTGACAATTAATTTACATTTCATTTGTAATGTTGTAAGGGCTCTCAAATCATAACAAAAACAGGTTGATATTTTTCTATTTTAATTTGAAAAAAAGAAAGCTTCACCTGAGTATAAACGAAAAACTTTTACATTCAAGTATTTTTGGTAGATTTATATACTAATGATTATAAAGGAAACCATTATTTTTGTAGGCGTATAATAGATAAAGTGAGCAACTTAAGTTTTATATTTCAGGCGTGTGGTAGATTTATAAATAATAATTCAGTAACAAAGTTGGCTAATTCTTCCAGTAAATCTCCAGAATTGTTAGCCAGATACTGTGATCTTTTACTTAAAAAGAGGTAGGTCATTTTTGTTAGCCAGATACTGTGATCTTTTACTTGGAAAGAGGTAGGTCATTTCAGTTAGCCATATACTGTGATCTTTTACTTAAAAAGAGGTAGGTCATTTCTGTTAGCCAGATACTGTGATCTTTTACTTAAAAAGAGGTAGGTCATTTCTGTTAGCCAGATACTGTGATCTTTTACTTAAAAAGAGGTAGGTCATTTCTGTTAGCCAGATACTGTGATGTTTTACTTAAAAAGAGGTAGGTCATTTCTGTTAGCCAGATACTGTGATTTTTTACATGGAAAGAGGTAGGTCATTTCTGTAAGCCATATACTGTGATCTTTTACTCAAAAAGAGGTAGGTCATTTCTGTTAGCCAGATACTGTGATGTTTTACTTAAAAAGAGGTAGGTCATTTCTGTTAGCCAGATACTGTGATGTTTTACTTAAAAAGAGGTAGGTCATTTCTGTTAGCCAGATACTGTGATCTTTTACTTAAAAAGAGGTATGTCAGTTCTGTTATAATTTACAATCTGTTTTTCCATTATGTTTTAATTTTTGCGGCATTACACGACAAACAAATTTAACTTAATTACAATAAGAACGAGTATTTGTGTGAATAATGGAACGATGTCTGACAAAATATTTCAATATCTTTAAATTCAACCTCAGTCAAATGAGTTCAAAAGCTTTCATTGCTGTTAAAATTCCATTTGGCTTGGCAACCTTTGGCCTGAATAATAATTTGAACTCTTAAATGGATCATTTTCATACAAAAGTTAAAAAAAAATCAAGCACTTAAGAACTTAAAGTGTTTCATTTGTCTAAGTAATTTTTATCGACATAATGATAGTAATTTTTATAGATATAATGATAGTAATTTTTATCGATATAATGATAGTAATTTTTATTGATATAATGATAGTAATTTTGAATGAAATTTTTTTTATTATTTGCTGCCATGAATGAAGTGTTCAGATACTGACAATACTTATTTTTGACAGTTCCAAGAATCCAGAGGAAGCTGAATTAGAAGATACATTAAATCAAGTGGTATGAAATAAATTTAATTTATTATACAATTAATGTAACAGATATATCTACAAGAAAACTTTAATTTATTGTTAAACTATTAAGAAAAGGAGGTGACTGATTATTACATACGTGTATTAAAATTTTGAAAAGTCAAGTTCAGAATTGGAAAGAAGAGTATGGTAAGAGGGAGAAAATATACTCTCAATTGTTAATTTAACATTTCATGCATTCACAGTCACTTGAACTATGATTACATTCATGAAAATAAAATCTATCTTTTATTCATGATCCCCTTGAACAATGTTGAAAATAGAGCCCGTTTTATAACAACACTTGTATGAAATTAAGTTACCTGTTGAATTTATATGCCATCTACAAATATATATATTGATAAAAAGAAGTCAGAAATATATATTGCTATTTCTGGAGCATTCTATGGACTGCTAGATGAACAAGGTTTGTGTTAAGACTTTTTTTTCTGAATAAAAGATATCTTTGTACATCTTAATTTTTGTTCATTATTCTTTTTAAAGTTCAACCAGTATTAAAAACAGTGGCACAACAAAATATTTGTATCTCTATAATGTTTTTTCCTCCTTTTTTAGATGATAGTATTTAAATACATAGAAGATAAAGATGTGTTCCAGAAATTCTATAGTAAAATGTTGGCTAAGAGATTAGTACAACATATGTCTGCTAGTGATGATGCTGAAGCCAGTATGATCTCAAAATTAAAGGTAATATTTATTTAAATCCTGCTCTGAAAGTAGGGGGTAAGATGGTTTGTATGAAATGTTTGTCAGATTTTTCTCAGGAACTACAATTCAGAGCTTCAAACTTCGTGTGAACATGCTTTACTGTGTGATACAAAGCACCATCCATTTTAGTATCACATTAATATGGTCTTAATCTGATTTGCATGTAACATTTGCCAGTGGATGCTCAACACCCAACCATCATCTTCATCTTTTATCTACCTGAACACAGGAAAATGTTTCAAAAACTTTATAGAATCGCATAGTAATTCAGTACATTTTATACAATAAATTAGTGTTTTAAAAATATTTTGTAAACACTAATTGTTATCTTATACTTTTGCAGAGTTGGGCAAAAGGTAATTATACACAAATTACATATGATGCCAAATTTTCAGTTGTTTCATTATAATTTAATTCAAAATGTTTTTATTTTGATAGCAAGCCTGTGGATTTGAGTATACGTCCAAACTGCAAAGAATGTTTCAGGATATCAGCGTCAGTAAAGAACTTAACGATCAATTCAGGGAACATCTCAAAAAATCTCCTGCTGAAGACCAGCTGGATAGTAAGTTATAATTCACTCATCATATACAAATAATGATAATTAAAAAAAACATCAGTCCATTTCTGCATGAAAATTATATGCTTAGGGCTATTTGGGGGAAAAATGTATTGGGAGTTGGACAAAACTATATTTTTATACCCCACCATTCATAATTTTATTTTCACTTGTAAAAGAAATGAATTGACAACTGTTTTTATTACAAATGACAAGAATTTTTTCTTTGATATGTTCTGTAAAATGCTTTAAATTTTTTTGTTGTAGTCGATTTCAGCGTACAGGTGCTAAGCTCAGGGTCGTGGCCTTTTCAACAGTCTTGTACATTCGCTCTGCCACAAGAGGTAAGATGACTTGAAGAAATAAAATCAACCGAATAAGAACAATATTATACCCCCCACTATAAAAGTGACGGCTATATTGCTATCTCATTGGTCGTCTTGTCTGTTCGTTCAGCCAACAAATATTTTCGTCACTATTTTCTCAAGAACCATTATACATAATGACTTCATATTTGGTCAGCAGCTGACAATGATGAGAACTTTTGGATCTGTTGTACACCTACTTCCTGTATGCCAATGCTCAGAAATACAAGAGAGTATGCTTAGCATGAGCCGGCATGCGTTCTTGTAAATATTGATTATAAATAGTAGAATTAAAACAAATGAGATATAAATACACTAGTTGACTGTTGAATGGATGTTATCAGTAGGTAGACATCGTAGAATAAAACCAGATAATTTTCATTAGGATTGCTATGTTATATAATATCACTGATGCCTTGAATGTTTCCAAGTTCTAAATTGTTCTTTGATTAGTAGTGAATGAATTTAAATTCTGCCATAAGAACTTACTTCCTCTCAAACAATAAGATACAAACAGTGACAACCACTTAACTTGAAACACACAGAATTCAACATTTACCACAAATTAGAAAAGAAACTAGAAATTTACCATCTTTAAGCCAGAAAACAATCCTTTCTGTTTAGTTTGGTGTCATCATAGCAAGTTTAATGTTTTTTATGCCCCGTCGTAGCGGAGGGGGCATTGAGTTTTACCCTTGTCCGTCTGTACGGCTGTACATCCGTACGTACGTACGTCCCATACCGGCCATAGTTGGTTTCCATTCTCTAACTTTAATTTGCCTAAACCAAATGTTATGAAACTTATACACAATGCTTATTACCACATAACACAGATCAAGTTTGAATTTTGGTGGTGTCACTTCAACAATTCTAGAGTTATTCCCCTTTACAAATGGAAAAATTGCCCAATTTTTCATTTCCGTTCTCTAACTTTAGTTTGCCTCATGCAAAAGCTCTAAAAGACCCCCCCCCCCCCCTGAAACTTATACACAATGCTTATTATCACAAAATACAGATCAAGTTTGAATTTTGGTGGCGTCACTTTAACGGTTCTAGAGTTATGCTCCTTTACAAATGGAAAAATTGCTGAATTTTTCATTTTCATTCTCTAACTTAAGTTTGCCTAAACCAAATTTTATAAAACTTATACACAAAACTTATTACCACAAAACTCAGATCAAGTACAAATTTGGGTATCATCACTTTTATCGTTCTTTAGTTATGTCCCTTTATAACTTTATATGATATGCAAGCGGGGGCATCATCTGTGTTCCATGGACACATTCCCCATTTATTGAGTAATCAATTGAAGGCAACACATCTATTTAATAATTTAAAGAAAAATGTTGAATTTATACAAAATATAACACATCATCATCTAGATGGTAGGGAAAATAAAGTTCGCATTAACTATGAATTTCATGTTTTTTGTTAATTTCAGATGGAGAGAAGTTTTCAAAGATTTACCTGTTTCTATAGTAACCGCCACAGTGGGCGAAAATTGAATTGGTTGTATCATATGTCTAAAGGAGAGTTGGTCACACATTGTTTTAAAAATAGATATACATTACAGGTGGGTTTTACATTACAGATTGTATCAAATTGTTTCCTTATCATCTTAATTCATATACTGTTCTCTTAATTGCTCTTGCTCTTGATTGACAAGTTATTTGTTTTCCCACTGAAAAGATACATCTTAACAAATATTTAATGGAAATGAAGGGATATGGTGTATTAAGTTTTTATTGCTGTCTTCCGTTTCAACTTCAATGTTTTATTAGAACAATACTGGACTGTAGCTTTATAAAGGCTGCATTATTGTTTTTGCTAGGTTTTGATTGATTTAAAGTATATTTATTTTTCTTAAATATTTTTCAGGCCTCCACATTTCAAATAGCCGTCCTTTTACAGTTTAATTTAGAAAATAGTTTAACAGTTCAACAATTACTGGATAGTACACAAATCAAATTGGTAAGTATATACACAATACTGGGATATGGATAAAAACAGAACTGAGATGTACCTAAATTGAAACAGCAACCCAACAAGGAGGAAGCGTGAAAAATGAATATCAGTATTTTCTTGTCACTTTAAGCACAGTTCTGTAGATATTGCTCAATATTGAGTTACTTTCTATATAAAAGTTGTACTACATGGTCTACATATACTCTTCATTCTAAGTTTTTGACATATATCTGGTTTGGTCTATATTCAAAACTTTGTAGATACCCGTCAATTTTTAAATCACTGTAATTTTGAATTAAGAGAATATCACTTCAAGTTTTGGTACTGTTCAATTCAAAGAGACTGAAATGTTTTGTTTACTTCTACAATTGACGCTAGATTTCACTTTATTATAATGTTTTGTTTACTTCTACAATTATTGCTAGATTTCACTTTATTATAATGTTTTGTTTACTTCTACAATTATTGCTAGATTTCACTTTATTATAATGTTTTGTTTACTTCTACAATTATTGCTAGATTTCACTTTATTATAATGTTTTGTTTACTTCTACAATTATTGCTAGATTTCACTTTATTATAATGTTTTGTTTACTTCTACAATTATTGCTAGATTTCACTTTATTATAATGTTCTGTTTTAGGATATGTTACAGCAAGTTCTCCAGATACTGCTCAAATCTAAATTACTTGTTACAGAAGATGATGAAAATGAACTTGTCCCTACATCACAACTGTCTCTTTTCTTTGGATACAAAAAGTAAGTCTTGACTAACGAATAACACTCCTTACATTGGACAAAAGGAAATTGCGTTTCCTATTACATGTCCAACCTTCTTATTTAAGTTTGACTTTAATTTTGACTCAATATTCTTATGCTAATTCTTAAAGTTAAAAAAATCTGGGGAGTTAATCAAGCTTCCTAAACTTAATAGTTTTAGTTTCAGTCTGTTACAACTTTCAGTATCTAAAGTCTAAACTTATGTGAATGTTATGTTTGAATGTCATGTTTTTTCTAAGAATTATTCTAGATTACAGGATGAACAAATGTTGAGTGGACTTTTTTTAATAAAATTTGATCCTTATATAATGTCTAAATTTAGAAAATAATTATAAATGTATGAATAGGAAGACATTTTTTTTTACAAAAGTCTTGTGACAAATATTGGTGAAGAAATAAAAAAACATTCTGGTATATAAGAATCTGTGAACTTTGTGCATACAATATAAAAATAAGAAGATGTGGTATAAATGCCAATGAGACAACTCTCAACCAGAGACCAAATGACATAGAAGTTAACAGCTATAGGTCACTGTACAGACTTCAACAATGAACAAGACCCATACTGCATAGTCTGCAATAAAAAGCCCTGAAATGACGAATGTAAAACAATTTAAACAAGAAAACTAAGGGCCTGAAGCAAAGATGCTATAATCACCTGATATATTCATGAAGAAAAAACAAATATTGATGTTTAAATAATTTGTTATGACATGATCTATTTTCAGTAAAAAGTTACGTGTAAATATAAATGTTCCAATGAAACAAGAGGTGAAAATAGAACAGGAAGCTACACACAAACACATTGAAGAAGACAGAAAACTTCTAATTCAGGTATATACACTGTATAATGAACTAGAAAATACCTAAAATGGGAGCATGTTATTATACTGTCGTGTACAATTAAAAGACAAACTCATTGTAGGACCTTTAGGCTTAAGGATATTCTCTTTTCAACTTTTCTTTATATTACAAACCTGTGACTTTTTTCCTAGACAAACCCTTAAAATTTAAAATTTTTAAATTATTTCTGATATATTTTTCCTACAGTTCTACTATTCTTGCAATAATTTGAATGTTTCAAATGCATGCATCTCAAACATAATCATATGAACCTATCTGTACTTATTTATAATTATAAGATGGAAGGTTATTATACAAAGTGTATCATGCATGCTGAAATCAGTGTCATACATATATATGTATTCATTATTTCATATCTATTGAAAGCAAATAACTTTGTTCAAGCATTTTTTTTATAAAGTATGAAAACCTCCATTGCAAACTTGCAAATATAACTGTAAAACGAATCTTCCTCTAATGAAGGAGCACCTCATATGATGAGTAATCGTCCACCGAAAATAAAAGTTAATTTATCATAACACTAAGAATGTAACATTTCCATATGATAAGTAATCCTCCGCCGAAAATAAAAGTTAATTTACACGAGCATTAAAAGTTTTATATATACACTATAGTAAAACTCTGTTAAAGGGGCATTAGCTGTCAAATTCATGTTCACTGATTTGACTCAAATTCTCATATTTGATTTATAACATACTAAAACAAATATCCAAATTACAAAAAGTCGAAAATCAATAACTAACAATGCATGGACTTGATGATATGTATCAACATTCGGTGTGTATTTTTGTCTAGACATCATCTAGTTAACCATCAAGATGACCTCTAAAGAATGCTGACGGTCATATAACCCGTTGTAAACATAAATATAAATATAAACAGATTTGACCACGTGCAATTGGATTTTTCTAGGTCTGTTTGATTTCATATTGTAGGTTTAAAAGTATGTTTATCATCGATTTTACCTGTATAAGAATGATTTTTTTGTGGATTGAACCGGTGAATCAAATGGTTCATCCTTGTTTCACTTTCAATGTTGACATTCTTTTTCTTTTAATAGCTGATTACATGAGTAACCCATCTCTAGCTACAGGGTTAAATTGAAGGTCACATGCATACGGATTTAATGAGGTCAAATTATTCACTTGCAAGTGAATGATTCATGAGCGATGTTTCTTAGCTTATTTTGTCAAAATTGAACCAAATTGGCTGCTAAAAGCGAGTTATTATTTCACTGTATCACTTTCATTAATGACTGAACAAAAAAAAAATCATATTTTATTTTTTTTATATCTCGTAGCTAATGCCCCTTTAAAACTTTATAATATGAGATATTAAACACTCCTTCACAAATGACAGTTTATTAGGACATTTATGTACAACAAAGGAAATACCGATGCTGCAGGCTCAATGGTTTGACTTGGTAAGTAAACATACAATTTTTTTTTTATCAAGTTTATGTCTACAGTCCTTTAAAAGGCTGCATCATGCGGAGCATAGCAGTCTCTCCAAATAAAGGTAACCTTTGTATCAAGCTTCATTGGTATTAACACCAAATTCAACAGGTTGAACTTAGGTAAATCTAACTTCTACAAGTTTGGATAAAACAGCTTTATGTAAAATCAATAGAAAAAACTAATATGATATTTATGTATTCATTTCTTGTTTGTTTATAGGCAGCCATAGTACGTATAATGAAAATGAGGAAGACATCAAAACATCAACAACTTTTAGGAGAAGTTTTGAACCAGCTATCATCTAGATTTAAACCCAGAGTTCCTGTCATTAAGGTACTTTATTTTACACAAATTTAAAGTTTTGTGCGAGATTTTTACCAAGCTGTACACTTCTTTAATAGGGTACAAGTATTTGTTGATTTCCTGATTGATAAAAAAAGAAACACCTAAAAAAGCATATTACACATTTATTCTTGTTTGCACAGTCTGTAACCAAGATTATTATGAGTCTAAAACAAGATGTATGTAAAAATAGGATTAAAGTTTTATGGAAGATATCAGATACTTGCATTTATCTAGAATTTAAGATCTTAGTATAATTTGCACATATTAAAATATATATAATTTGTAATAAGATTGAACATTTTTATTTTACCCCAGCTGCATTTCAATCTGTAAAGGTTGGAATTTCTCACTCCTAGAAGTTAATTTGATTTTCAATGTCAACCTTTTCAATTTTTCATAAAGATGGTGGGGGCCTTGGTGGACAAGTGGTCTAAGTAGTTCATCTACTTTATCACTATTCTGTCAACACTGAGGTTGTGAGTTTGAATTGCCCACCTTTGACTCTAATTTAATTAACTAAGGTTGTCATTTTTTCCACCAAAGGTCTTGTTTTCTCCAGGCACTCCCGATTCTTCCACAAATAAAAACTGACCACCATGAAATAGCCAATTGTACTGAAAGTGATGTTAAAACACCAACAATCAAACAATTTTAAAAACGGTTGTTATGATCAACCTTAGTGTCAAAACAACCTCTTTATTTATAAATAAAATTCAGATTTGGAGGGGAATCCTATTAACTGCACTTAACCATTAATAAAGCTTTTGGAAGTATATTTTGTTTATTTTTCTCTTTCAGAAATGTATAGACATTTTGATAGAGAAGGAATATCTAGAACGTGTTGAAGGACAGAAGGATACATACAGTTACTTAGCATAAATTTAAAACTCACTGCTGTTTTGTTAATTCACCTTAAAATGTCTGCCGATGACAAGGGAGTGAATTCATCAAAGTATGAAAGGGAGATAACTGATTTTTGTTTTTGTTTGGGTAAGAGGAAGTGAGGAAGTGATGAATATTCAGAATGTTTGTCAGTTGTGAATGCAGACAAGATTTCTACTGAAGTTCAACAGTTTAGTATGTTACATCCTCAGATACAAAAAACTTTTTGCTGGACTGTTTGTTTTTTCTCTATTTTATTGAGAGTTCTTGAATTAGATATTGAACATACTTTGTACTTTATCTAGACTGTCATGTTTGTGCCAACAATGTATAACTCTTTTCTGATTGTATATCTTTTACCTATATATTCTATACTAGGGCTATATAAGTGAAATAACAAACTAAGAAAAAAGTGTGTAATACAAATATGATAAAATAACAAAGATATTCTAGTGAAAGAAAACTGGCATTAGATTCCTGGTAAGGCAAAATTTAGTCTATGAACTGTTATTTAATATATTAAAAAGTTACATGTCATTATCAAATTGTCCTATAAATTGCTGCTGCATTGCTATTTTTCTGTCAGATATTTTGTTCTTGAATAATATTTTTTTTTTTTTTAATTTAGCAATTAAAGATTTCCTTGATAAAAGGAGGTTTTTGTTCAGAGTTTATCAGATTACTTTTTTCATTTAATATGTCTAACAGTGACAACTTTGAGAAGACGACTTGAGTTTCTGTTTACAATTTCTTGCTGTCTAATATTATAGCAGATACCACAAAAGGAAAAATTTCATCAATCAGTTAAGAATTTTGAGTTTATTTTTCAAATTTGTAGGCTTTTAGAAAAAAAAAATCTACTTGTGTGAACTTAAACCACTACTCAATTTTTACTGCAAAAAATTATTTTCTGTTTTAGACACACTATTGGAAAATGATGTGACTTGGGAATTTTTTGGTAGATTTTGCAGCTTTGAAATAATTATTTTTCTTTTATATGCACAGCAGTACATCACACAAGGGGTGTTAACATACATAAATTCCATTTACAATAAACAATACTTTAGTTTAATTTCATTATTATTTGATTGACGAAAAAAACATGTACTATTAAGAATATTTTAGGAAAAAATTTGGGGATGTTGGAGGTTACTTTTCTTCAGACTTTCGCCTGGTTTTTTTTTGTATATTTTGTTTATTTACCACATCAAAACAGCATTTTATATTAATTTTGCTGTTATTCTAAGTTGTGCAATGTACATTTTTAATTTGTTTTATTTATTTATGGTTTTTATATCTTTAAGATGGTAGTGCATGCAGTATGTACACTTATACTGCCTGTGTTACGTTGAAGAAAAACCAAAAAGTGCTTGTTGTGTGCTTAATTAGTTTGCTTTTTCAACAAATGAAGAGCCTAGGTTGCTCTTCTGATTTGAAACACAAGATTTTCAAATAAAACATAAACTGCATTTTATAAACTTGATTCCGTTAGTGTTTGACTTGTAAAAATTCATCATTTCAATTTTTTTCTTTCTTTTTAGGATAACATAAGAATTAGCCAAATTAAGTTAGGTGTATGTTGATGAAAGTGTGTGTAATGCATTTTGCAGTTGAGAGAAAGAGTAGTATTTGAGTGTAACTGTGATGTCATTTCCGTTTAATAGAATTCTTTTTGTTATGCAAGAAGTTTATGATCTAAATATATATATTAATACCATTAAATTTAACAATACCTCAGATATTACTATACATTTATTTGTTTGTTAAAAAACAACCCATATTTACTATTAATTTATGGGAATCAAAACCAGCTTTCAAAATGATGTAGTTGTATTTGAAGTCCTGTTTGGATTATAGGACTTTTGAAGAAATTAAAATTTATGAAGTTGAACTGTATAATTTTTTTTTTATGTTCATTTTTGCACATGTAAACTTAATTACAAATACCAGATTTTAATACCACTGCAAAAATTCAGGTTCTTTAATTGTATCAGCATATCGCCCATGTAATTTACTCATTTCTGTGGAGTAATGTGTTTAGGTTGATCAGTACTGGAAATTAAACTAAGATAAGATTTAACCCACACCCTTTAAAGTAAATAAAATAATAATGTGTGTTTTTGCATACAGAATAGATATTTTCACCAATTTAAAAAACATATTTCAACAAAATTGACATCTCGTACCATTTTCTTGATAATAAGGGTCAGAAAGGACCCATTTTAAAACTTGCACAAGTCCAATGAACACAGCATTGGTTCTCGATTTTGAAGAGTTCTTTAGATCAACTTTGATATCAGTAGAATAACAATGTCACAATCTATGCTCAGCTTTATCGGTCATTACATGGTGTTGTCATATCATGCTGTGCTAGACACAGCTCCCCATTTACTATTTTCCAATTACTGTTTTCATTGTAGAATTAGATGAAAATCTATTTTACAATGTACATATATTAAATTGCCAAATACATATATTACAGTGTTGACCAATCACTAGGCAATTTCTATCTTGTTTCAGACAATTGTTTGTGTTTGTTGAATATTCTAAAATTTTATATTCTCATTGAGTATTCTGTGTTTTTAAAAAATTATCTTAAATGTTTTGTCTTTCATATCATTTTGTTCCTGTTTTCTTGGAATTCAGAAAAAAAAAAAACTTTAATTCTACAGCTGTTAATATCGACCATGAAGTTATTTGTTATAATAACATATTGTTGTGTTACTCTAGATAGTGTTGTAACTTACTTTTTTCTATTTTTTCGAACCGTCTTGGTGGTCTCATAGCCTTCTTGCCTAAATTGTATAGAACTTAGTTTATATCCTGGACTAGGTAAAATCAAAGTTGCTTCTCCATCAAGCACCATACATTTAAGTGTAAGAATTAAAAAACTGGTCGACTTGTGAGTCAGAAAAATGTGTGTGAGGTAGATGATATGATATAAAAAAAAAATGATTGATTTTAGATAAATGTTAGATTCAACTTTTTCTTTTCTATATATGTTTGATAATTTTCTTTTTTCTGATTGTTTCAAGAGATAATGCAATCTTGGTAAAGAAAGCACCTCTGATAGTAATAAAAGACATCCAAACCGGCAAATAGACATAAATTAAAACATATCTATAAGAATTTTTATTATTAATATCTAAAAGATCCAATTTTTAGGAATAGTAAAATTGTTTTTTTTTTTAACTTGTTACTTCTTTGCCTTTCGAACTTATCCTCAATTCTGTTTACATTCCAAATTCCCTACCTATTATATTTATTGTTAATTTGTACTCATCCTGAATAATGAATGAAATATTTTCCACTGGACATAAAGCAAACAAGAATCAATCAATCATCGCTGCTACACATACTCATATATAAGGTTATCTTAATTTTTTTCAACACCCCCCCCCCCTAAAAATGAGATGCAACACTATATTTTTTAACACAACAATATGTAGAATATATTTATATTTATATACCTAGTTTACTTTGACAATAATTTCTTTTCCCTGTAGAAATAAGATAACAGATTACAGCTGTGCTGTATGAACAACTCTAGTTAGGTCACAAATATTTTCATGGTAAATTCAGACTGGCTGTACTAAAGCAATTACCAAGAATCTCTTGCACCAATAATTGATATAATTTATTAATCTGTTCTTTTTCATCTGAATAAAAGAAATGACATTTTGCTGATTTCATTCTTTTATGTTTGTTTCCCCTGCCATGAACATTGAAATGCTGTACATAGTGACACCAGTGACAGTATTGGTATAAAGCTTTGTATTTGAGAGAGTAGAGACCTGGATGTTTCATACCTTGTATACTGATGCCTTATGTTTACATCTACTGTAAATTCAGAAATTATTGAGAGGGTTTTATTAATGCGAATAACGTGACTTGGTGATTATCGCAATAATAAGAACTCACAATCCAATATCTGATACGGATATAATCTGTATGCAGATTTTCCTAAAATCGCAATAATTAATTTCGCATTTTTGTCCATTCTACAAAGATCGCAATAATAAATGCATGCAATAATTTTCGAATTTACAGTATTTTATGTCCATTGTCCTTGACCACATTTTCATGATCTAGTGACTGCTTGTAAGTTTAGGTATTTTGTCAGGTGAAATATTGATTTATTAGGAGTGATAGGATAAAAATGTTTGGTATAATGGGATCCTTGCACAGTCTACATGTTCACCTGACCTCAACATCATTTCATGGATCAGTGATAAAGGTGGAGTTTTAGTAACCAAGTCTGTATTTCAGAGACATAATGATAAGCGATAGGTCAATTTATTATATTTGCTGTATGGAATGGTTGTACGGTGTAGATGTTAGACTTGCAGGTTTCATCTGATCTTGATCTCATTTTCCTGGTTCATTGATAATATTAAGTTTATATGTGATACTTGTAGTAAAACCTTCATATCGCAGACTACCAACATAAATTCAAACTTTTTAAGTAAAGCAGGCAAGCCATTTCAGCCTGTGCACTCTTGTCGATATTAATCCTAGAGAACTGAAGGTGTATGTTGACATGAACAGACATAAAAGGTTAGTTCAGTACATGTGCCACTAGGTGACCAGGGACATTGGAAAGCACTGTTGATGCGTGTTGTCATTTGATAATTTTAACATTCCAGTAATATTTTTATTATTGATTGATTGTTGGTTGCTTTATGTTTTTATTAAAAATGGTCACAGTTAGATTCTACTTATGATTGGAAATTCAGCAAAAAAACATTGAACATAAGACACTGAGGGTTGGAAAAAGACTTGAAAAGGACAAGTACTATTGAGTTGTGTTGTCATTTTTTTAAAATTTTCAATTTCTGCAGTATGTATGTTGTCTCTCATGTGTATATTCAGTTTTTTTCTTGTCTACTGTAAACCAGGTTAGTGATTACAGGAATCTGTTTCTGTTACCTAAGCAGGATGAGGTAAAACAAACTTAAAAGTAGGATCGGTTAAATTTCCAGAATGGTCAGAGTGGAGATGCAAGCTTTCATTCTGAGTAGGACATGAAATGTTATATTGAGATTTGAAACAAAGATGTTGTGAAACGAAATTGGATATCCTGCTTTTCAATAACATATGGTCGAATCGCTTAAAGACCCCCTCCTAAATTATTGAAAACTATCACTCTGCACTGACAATTATATCTAGCGCCCTCAAGGTGTATCTAATACAAAAAGACCTTCCTTACATTATTTCCATCAACTTTGTACCATAATTTCAGAGAAAAATTCTGAAAATGTGATTTACTATAGGGTTGGATATATGTGTCACCATTGCCCTACAATCATTATGAAATGAGGAATTTATGTAAAGGGTTTCCCAATAATCATTCAAAGGAATTGTCCTTATAATACTTTCTGGCTTCCTCAAACAGTAAAAAACTGACTGCAATGACATAGCCATGGTAGCTGAAGATAGTGTTAACTACCAGGAAACAAAACAGAATAAGAAATGTTAATTAATGAAGGACCTTTTAATCCAACAAAGTTTGGTCCACATTGGCTCAGTAGCTTAAGATACATGGATTAACTGAATTAACAACTGATGTTAGGAGTCTGGTCAGCTAAAAATTGTATACTGTGGATTATCATTTAATTGGATACCAAGTTTTCGTTGATTTTGTGGGTATATTTGTAAGTATCATGAGCAGGATTTGACCTAAATTATTCACCAGGTCTCTAATTATAGTTTGATATCAAAAGCTCATTTGTGCCTATCATAGTCCTATTGTGGAAAATATTTTATTTTGCCTAAAGCAGCAAGTCTTTGGATGAATATGATTTTGACAATTGAATGAAAGCTTGTTTGACTCGATCTCTTCTGATAAGGTTTGAGTACACAGAATTTTTAAAGTTTGGCAGATGTCATAATGGCTGACACTGTGGTTTTGTCAATATCCTAGTGGCAACCCTTTCAAGGTTTTGACATGGTTTTGGACAGCTCGTGAAATTTGCCAAATATTAAATCTGTAGGGTAAAAAAAATGGACATTTAAAATCCTCTTATTTACATTCTTATCCTTTGGTATAGGTGGATAGTTGTCCTATTGGCTATCAAACCACTTACTCATTTCATATTGAAAGTTCTTACTTAACTAGGATGTTAAGCAAGGAACAATCAATCAATAATATCAATTTTTTCAGGGTTAAGAATAAGATTTTCAAAACAGTCAATTAGTGAAATAAATTGATAAACATCAAAGTTTGTATGGACAAATTCTGCATTCTAAAGTTCTAAAGATAAGGAGATGTGATATATTTGTCAATGACACATTTATACCTGCAGCAAACCACCACCAGAAACCAATATTTATATGATTTTCTATCCACGAAAACAAATGGTAATTGATTCTTTCATTGACTTGCTGATGTATTTTGCTGAATATAATCTGGTTAAGAGATGATGAAAGTCGACTTGACAGTCGGATTCAACAAAACCCAGTTCACAATATCCCTTAAACAGGAAAATGTGTTTTATTACTCTTTTTCAAAGTTAAAGATTATGTTAACCATAACATTATGAATTGATTCCCTCATATACCTCTAAAACAAGCCAAGCAGTAAATATCTATCTAAAGAACTCCACCGCTTTCACATACAAAATCAGTAAATCATAACTGTCATGAATTGCACAGGGCTAGACAATATTCCAAGAAATTTGAGACCGTTACACTTATGCAAAGTTTAACCATGAGCAGCAGAGTGGAAATTGACCACACCCTCCTCTAGTCAAAAATTTGAGCCGTCTAAAACTATTACGTGTATTGGTCATAAAAGTCTCCCAATTTGTACAGTAACCACACCTTCACAAAAATATAAAGATTCTGCAACATTGACTTTTAATCAATAATCACAAACAATTGTCTTGATCTTTTCCTCTCATGATGACTGAATTAAGAATCACTCTGGGTGGTGTTTTTTCACACTGAACACTTGTTCATGAAAAACCTGTGTGTATAATACACAGGTCGTACACGACAGGGTCAGGGCCGTAACTAGACATCCAAAACAGAGGAGGCAGGGGTTTGGAGGCCGACAAGTGAGGCGGCCATGTCTGCCTCATTGGTAGTTACAGCCATGAGGGTCATAAATCAGTGTACTACTAAATACATACTCTATTGGTTGGGCCAAGCAAAATGTCAATTATGAATAAGCGTCAAAGCCATTGGTCTATCGGTATACATGTAACAAAGAGGAAGGAGACATATTCTCATAGAAATATGGTCAATCAATGCTAATATAGCTGCACATGAGATATCATTGACTGAAGTGCCTGTTAAGTTAACATAAAACAATGGTACATACCAGTGCCTACTGTGGATTCATTTTTATTCATAGGGTATCAATTGTCCTAGATTTCATGGTAAAATATGAAGCACATAATAAAATGTTCAATGAGGTACAAATTTTCTGAAGGCTCATATTCAGACTTTTGAAAAAAACATGAAATCTAATACCAGTACCCACAAAAATACAATTTTTACTTGTCCACAAAAATAAACGAATCCATAGACCACAGTACGTCTGGTCTACTCTGACTTTTGTTGCAGGTGGCACAATCTTGAGGGATAATTGGTCATGTAGTAAGATTTAATCAGTATATTTATTTTATTTTACAACATATTACATTAAAACTCATTTTAAACAGTTGTGACAAAAATCTGTTGTATTTATGTTTAAATAAATCCACAATAACAAAAAAAAAAAAAAAAATATCCATCTCTTAATATGAACAGATTATTCGTCACAATGAATTTTCAAATGAAGGTGTTGAAAGTCATTTTTTTTTGCTGCGGTAAAAATATGAACATTGACTTTATTTGCAGTCACACTCATTCCTTAAATGATCTGTCATATTAATGATTTTCATTCCTTCAAAAACAATATATTGAAAATTTCTGTCAGCTGACTTCTTTGCTAAATTTAAATATTTAAAGTTTTTGTCCAAATTCAAAGTAAGAATGATGAAATGATGAGGTGGAATCTGTTTGCTAATACTGTCAATAAATCAGGATCCTCTGAAAAAAATGAAAGAATAATCTATTAGTAAAAATAAAATACCAGTTACTTGTACATTTGTGCCAAATAAAGTTTGTTCAGGTTATCTATTTAGATACATTCGAAAACTCTGGATCAAAGTACAAAAACTTCATACTAAAGTGTACACCCAAAAATCCTCATTACAATATTTTAATTCTTAAGTAAGAAAAAAAAGAGGTGCACTACCTTGTCTATCACTAGGTTTAGGATCATCATGAATATGCAAAAAACATTTTGTACTTGATGTAAAGCAAACATTTATCACTTTATAAGATTGAATGGTTGGTGTTTAATGCCACTTTTAAAACTATTGTGCTATTTCGTGGCGGTCAGATTTTATTGGTGGAGGAAGCTGGAGTGCCCGGAGAGAACCACAACCTTCGGTAGGAAAATTGACAATCCTAGTCAATTAAGATTGGAGTCGAGTGCACCTGCGCCATGCGGGATTCCAACTCACAACCTCAGTGTTGACAGGCTAGTGAAACAGTAGTTCGACTACTTAGACCACTCGACCACCAAGGCCCTGCACTTACAAGAAGATTCTCATAATTAAATAATAAGAGAATATATAACTCTTATAGATTTTCATATTCATATAAGCTCTTTTTATTTAACATTAA